AAAAATAAATGCCATAAGGAACCTTAAGTTTAGCAATGTATGGGTTGATCGTTCCTCTGTAAATTGACCAAATATTGTAAATGCAAAGAAGAGAAAGCAATATTTCTGAATGGGCTTTGATTAGAACTACGCTTTGGTAATTCAATTATTCATACTCTTACCTAAACATTGAATTAACATCGCGTCGAAGATATATGTGAGAGGCCAAATGTTAAAAGAGAAGATCAAATAATTGAGTACGACCATGGCCAGTAATACTGCACCATTAGTTTGCACAATACAAGCGTTATAGGACGTGTAAGGCATAACGAGTTATATGTATAAAAAAAGAAGAAAAATTTCAAAGCGTGTTTATTCTATTTTTTTTAAAAAAAAAAAAAAAAAAAAAAGCGGTACTGTTCATTTTTGCAGTGTGTGTGTAACGAGTACGTTCTTGCATGGTCACACAAGAGTTACTTTGCTAAAATGTGGAAGAGCTGCCATGCGTACATGGATCGAAAAGTTCTGCTCACCAAAATGAGTTCTAATATCAATACCATTTTGAGAAAACGAGAAAATGCTGCAAGTAATGGTGTCCCTTTTACAGCTAAGGATGTTGCGAGCGAAGATTATGTCACAAGGCTTTTAAACCGGGATCAAGCATTCAAGACATTTTTGGGAGTTCGTTCATCTTCTGAGTATTGGAAAAATCAAAAGAAAAATTGTATGGCTATGACCAGCATAATGTACCTAATCTCCAGGCACACTTGGATCAGATTGTCAACGACCCCGTATATCTATCATCTGATGTATTCCTCTTCAATGAAACATGGACATTACCAACAGATAATTTTGAAATTCCAGATTTTAAATCGGTTTCGGCTGTTGATTGTATAGATGGTGTACGTAAGCCCATAGGCAGTTGCTGTTACGTCTCTAGCTCGATATTAGGAGATCATACTTTTTCAACAAGGCTTTTTAACAGTAATAACTCCTCCTCCTCCTCCTCCTCTGTAAGTGTGTCAACTGTCACATTTAATTCTACTCTCTACTGTAGCATTTATGCGTCTCCAGATTTTTCCAAAGCTCTGAACTACTGCTGGAAGCATTAGAATTTATAATTCAACATCAATAAATATTCATTGTAATTGCTGGTGATTTCCATTTTTTTTTTTTTATGTGATGGACTTCAAATTCGACACTTGATGAAAATTCAACGGATAACATACAACAATCTCCTTACTACTCAAACTGAAATTTTTCGTGATAAATCCTCTGGATTCCGTGTATTTTCACTAGCTGTACGTCTGCTTCGTACTTTTTTTTTTTTTTTTTTTTCGCATGTGGTTGAATGTCCGCACGCATCTCCATATGATCTTTTTACTAGGAAGCATACATACTCATCAAACACATTTACTGGTGATGATCCACAACTCAAGCTGCACCATACAGTTGCAGCTTCACTAGATAAAGTGGCCCCTTCTTTATGACTGCTACAAACCCAAAACTATTCTATCTATCAAATGCAATGCGTGATTTTTGCTAGGCGATTATGCGAATTGATATCGATAGAATGTTTGATTGAAGGCAATCTAAAACGCATCTAGCATCTTTCGCGTATGGCTGTGATGATATAAACCATATCAAAATGTAGATGACAGTAGCTGGTTATAGAAATTGATTGCATTTTGTTTTACTTTTTGTTTTATTTAATTTTTTTTTTAACTGGCCTTTTCGAAGATACTCCAGTGCTCCAACCTAATAAAAAATAATCAGTCAAAACATGTTATACTTAATACCGAATAAATAACTTACTCTGGGGTTAAATATACATATGTTAAAAGGTATTTAAACACGTTGACGGGAGGCTAAAATTGAAAATTAGCAGATTGCGTAAAGATTGTTATTTGATTACTTACAGGCACAAGTGGGGGAATGGCCATGGGTTCCTTAAGGCTTAAATAAACCTCCAACACATGCAACATGATCTGCAATATCATAATTAAAAAACCAAAATCATCATTGAAAAGACACTATTTATACTTACCTCAGCATCAGAAGGCATACCAGCGTGCTACCGTACCCAAACTAAAGCTTATGTAAATTTGTAGCACAAGACATTCTAAAAAAGTAAGGTGAATTACTTCAATGCATGGCTCCCATTGGAATTCTGGGCAAGAATGAAACTCAATGTTGGCTGATGTTCAAGTGTCAAGTCGGTATGAGCCAAAGAGACCCCAAAAAAAGGGAGTGTAGCGGAAGCCAGCCAAGTTGTTGCTTTTCGATAAATCTATATTTTGGGAACCCGATCAGAAAAACATAATCATTTCTTTACTGCGAACCTTTTAATTCAGCTTACCAAAGATACGGTTTTTCACGTAAAGCATACTTTCTTCGTCGGTGTTACCTTGCAATGCCAGAAAATCTACAACTTCTGAAACTTTGAAATCCGCATTGTTCTAAAATATAAATGTTAATATGTTAAACTCTCTCAATCCATGCCATTATTCTTACGTTAAACCCAGGGATCACCAAAGAGAGGGCAATACTGACAGAAGGTGTTTTTACCAGGCTTTGGTTTTTTTTAGCAAGCATGACATCAAAGTGTTCAATGGCTTTCGCCAAGGGTGAGAACATTTTTTCGTGCAAGACCTTTAAAAAAAAAGAGTTGATTAACATGTCTCCAAATAATTTATACAATCACACTTACGAGAAGAAGTCTGTCATAGAAAAGACTGGAGTAGCGATCGTTAAATTTGGACCAGTTTTTCTTAAGTTATGTAAATGCTAAAAACCTTTAAAAACCTTTAAAAACCTTTAATTGTGCGTAACTCCGGCCTCCAATTGGATCCCCGAGATCGACACGAGAATCTAAGTATTGTATTGTTAATATATTATTGATCTACTCGAGTATCTATTCATTCTTGTGTTTACCTGTTCGATTCTGAAGTCGACAACTACTTCTTCAGTTCTGTTCATATACCACATAAGGCGCTCTCTATGGGCAGATGGCCGAAGAGGGGGCTTAATGCATGGTACAAACTTAAGCTTGGGTACTGCGATGTTAAATGTACTGTTTCTGGGAGCTACTAAATTGGATAAACAGGAAAAGACTCTCTGAGGTGAGATCTCGAAAGAAGAGTTGAATCCTGTTTTAAAGATGCTGGTAAGACTTGGTGCACAAGAGGTTGTGGAACCGGGAACAAAAGTACGGGAGCAGGAATAGTGGGGGCGGCTGTAACGGATTGTTGTCCCTTTGGAGCGGGTGTGGGCGTATTGTGTCCAACATGTTGTTTTCCAAGTAACAATGCTATACGTTGTTGCAGCCAATCTAAATTGACTTGGTGTTACACAGGATAGGATCTTTTCTATAAATACGTCCCTTTTTTTTCGTAATAAATATTCCTCCAGTTTTATCTTAACTGAAAATCTAGTTTTTTAATAATTTGTAATTGACTCCTTTGTGTTTCCCTCAACTTTCATACTTCTTGTTTATCTTAAGTTTATACTTACATATAACAATTAACTCAAAGTTCATATTTTCACACTCGACTCGAATCTCTTTATTACTATAACCGTACATAAGATATTGTTTATAATAACATAATTACTTTTCTTTTTAATCTTGGCAATTCGTTTATATTTATATTACTTACGCCCTCTTAAAATCATCGTTGATTATCTTCTTATCCTAAAAACTTTATATTATAAGATTTCTTAAGTTGACTACTTCCAGTCTGGTGCTCACTTTCATAACTACTTTATTATTAACCTCAGTGTTAATAATCTATATCCACCTTATCCTTTAAGAACTATTACCAGTGTCTTAACAACGTACATGAATATTTTAGTCTTTTTAATAAAGATATGTCTAATCATTCAACGTATATTACCATATAATACTGAGTTTACTGTTTTAAAAAAGTTTTTTGAAAGAGGTCCTGGTCCTGAGGCGGTAACGTTTAATAAAAAAAAAGTTATTTTCTCAATGTTTCTACTTACTGAAAAAATAAATGCCATAAGGAACCTTAACCTTAGCAATGTGTGAGTTGATTGTTCCTTTGTAAATTGACCAAATGTTATGAATGCATAACAGAGAAAGCAATATTTCTGAATGGGCTTTGATTAGAACCACGCTTTAGTAATTCAATTATTCATACTCTTACCTAAACATTGCGTAAACATCGCGTCAAAGATATATGTGCGATGTCAATTGTCTTAATGTCTGGCAATTGAGTCGTTGCAGCGCAGCTGTACGGCGTGGCCAATATTATTTTTATTTATGCGGATTCCATTGCTGTTGCTGCGGATTTCATTGGGAGAAAAAGACAGTTTTTAATACTCTGTGAAACTAAAAATATAAAAATACAATTTGAACACCGATGCTCTTATGCAGCATCCTTCTTCACTCGCTTTAACCTTTTGGGTATGGTTGGCCTAAATCTTCGTGCCAGCTTGGTTTATCGATTCCAAATGTTAAAAGAGAAAATCAAATAATTGAGTATCACCATGGCCAGTAATACTGCACCATTAGTCTGTACAATACAAGCGTTATAGGACGCGTAAGGCATAACGAGTTATATATAAAAAAAAAAGAAAATTTCAAAGCGTGTTTATTTCTTTATTTTATGTTTGTGAAGAAAACTGATAATTATTGTGCATACGTTTGGAAACAACGACATTTTTTTTTTTTTGCCTGTCATTCGAGCCTTAAAACCATGTGCCAATTATAATTTGTGACTTCCGAAAAGTGATGATATTTTTAAGCACTGCTTTCGTTGGACAAAGCATTTTTTTATGCACTGCTCCCTTAGGCTTTCTAACTGCGTAAACTACGTGAAGAACGCCAATTTTTCGTTTTTATGGCTAAAGCTGGTCTTCGTTACATAATGGAGACCTTCCTGTCACCAGTTGTAAGCATCGGAAGCCTTTATTTTACAACATTAACTAGGATGGGGCAAACAATAAATGGGATGTCGTTAGTGATCCGCTAAGGGTTTAATACAGGTAAGAGAAAAAAAATGATAATGGGAAAGCATTTCAACTCCAAAGAAAAGGACGATTATGAAATTTCCCCAGCTTTTCAAACTAGTGGCTCCAACGACCAAGCTATCGCCGAGAAATATACGCTTTATGGTCACCGTGCAAAGTTCGAAGGTGGGCGCAACGCCAAAAAAAAAAAAAGAAGCACTTTTGGTAATATTATGCAAAATTCCATAATTAGAGTTTAAATGCAGATTTTTTAAAATCAGACTGTCAGAAAGACTGGACAGATACAGAATACAGTTCTTATTATGATCATAGATATTCACAAACCAGTCAATTCCCTGATGTGAGTCTTATATAAACAAGTATCGCTCTAAATTGCACCTTATAAACCTACAGTACTTTTGTTTATCTTTAGATTAATAAAAAGGATACAGAAGGAGAAGATGATGAGGTATTATATCATATAGCTGAAAGCGACAATATTGTTTACATAACCACAATTATTATTTCAATTAACACATTTAATAGGCTCTGGATAACGAGGAATTAATTGACATTGAGCCTCCTTCGGATATAAGCAAAGATCATCACCTCTTAATAAATAAAAATGGGTACAATCCCCAACTCGTCAACGATTTACATTCAATACAGTGTGCAAGCACATGATCATATCATGAATTTGAGTGTGACATGATCAAGGAGTTGAAGGCCTTTCCATCAGTGTCAGCACAGATGGATCCCAAAAGCCTTTCCGATCTACGTTCATTGTGAGTGTAAACTGTTGATTAAGCGTTCTCTCTTCAGGTCACTTAATGAAATTTACTTGTTAGCATATAATTTTAAAGAAAGCATTACATCGTACCTACACAAACCATTGCAGTAAGTTATAAATTTTTTTTTCTAAGGAAGATGCTTATTTGACAAATCAATAAATGTGATTGTAATATAGACGCTTAATATTGAAAGATATCTCAGATGAACCTACTGTCGCGATCGTGCTGCTCTTTGGTGCAACAAGATATCACAGATAAATGCCTTGCATGGGAGCATGATCAAAAATCTTTCAAATCATCTAGAGCTTTATTATTCTCAAACAGCACCCGACTCGAATTTGGAGGACTCCTTGATGTATAACTTCATTTCCACCCTGTTTGAAAACGTCTTTTTGTTAGATTCGATTTTAAAAAATAAATGGTGTGTATAGCGAGTATTGAAATCCCAAATATGCTTTGAACAACATACTTACAGACCTTTTTTTATTGTACCCGCATTACCAGGGCAAATGGCCAACTGGGAAAGAGGAAAATTGATGATCAAACATGATTACGTTGTATCTATTACCAACACCACTTCCTGTCCATCCCAATGCTATGTTTTAATTAGACAGTCAGATTCCCCTTGTCCCTACTAAGTTGATTGTTAAACCTAAACTGGGCTCTTCCGGTTAACGAGGTGTCCTAGGCAAAAAACAGCAACCCGTAAATGCATCTACAAGATACACAAGACACCCCCATACCAAAGAACTATATCTACCCAACATGTGCAGATGCCAAATGGCCCATCAATAGCCATGCATTTCCAAAATCCAATTTTGTTAAACTCGGAACAAGAGATGCGCTGGATGCTCAATAGACTAGTTTGGGAAGGCGTTGAAAAATATGGTGCAGGTGGTATTCTGGTCTCCGGGCATAAAATTTTGCCGTACAAAATGAACATCATAGCTCATTGTATCTATTCAATGGTCTAACTTAACAATATAAAATAATTTAGAAACATGCAGTTGTCGTTAATACCCACAACTATCTTCAATTTCTTACAATTGAAGGTATAAGAATAGTATCTCACTAAAGATTGCATAATATCGCTAACTCAGAGGTAATATAATGTTAATTTATCCACGACCAAGAAAGGAAATGATAGTCTTATCAATAAGCCCAAAGGTGTCCCCCCCCCCAGACGTATGATCCTTCCCTTTCGCGGCTAAAGTAATATTATATTGATCTTTTGAAAGGGCAAAAAGTAGGCAATTTAACTTGAAGGTGTGAAAAGACGGGTAATGACATTTCCTCTTGACACTACTCTAACATCAGAATTCCATATAAATGAAGCTAGTCTAAACCTGATTATATTTTGTTTCCGTTGTACAAATATGTTTAAACGACATTTATTAACATTTCATGAAAAAATAATATAAACCACCCTCGTAAAAAACTCTGTACTCACTACCCAAATCTGATCAATTTTTTTTTCGAATATTGGATCAATATATCATATCAAGTTTATTTTCATTCGACAATGCCTTTTCCTCACCATCCATAAATCACCTTCAACTTATTTATCCTCATACTCTCCTGAATAAGAGTGACATGATCTACATTACCCGTTGTAAAGCACATCTTAACTCTGTTTTATGACAGTATCAAATAATTTTCAGGCCTCTGGAATCAATAGCAATTGGTTAGTACCAGCCCTCATGACTCCTTTACCCCAACCAATAACTACAGCCTGGAAAAAATTCTGGAAAACCCGCCTCTACCCAGGATTGTGTAACATATGGAATCATTCAGTTCACAGCCAAAGTTCCTGTCAAGTCAATCCTTCATTGAATCCTCCTAGATATTTACCTCAGCCCTGACCTTAAAGATAATCCATACGTATTCATCCCCGAAATTTATCCTAGCCTGATAACATTCATTCAATGTTCAATGCATATTTCAGTTCAGATTTCAAGGCGTAATCACCCATACTACCTCACTGCAACTTCATACAGCTGCCAGTCTCAACTATGCACTCCATCTGATTGTCGCATCTAAATGAGAGCTTTCGTGACATTCTGGTTCCGCGTTAACATTATTACCATCCGCAATCAACAAAACCGTTGCACTTTCTAGAAAAATAAAAAAAGCCCTTCCATACTGATATGGAAATGGTCACAATTTATTCTTTTACTTGATACACCCCCCTTTTTGATTTTTCATTTTTCTGTAGGCAGCAAATACTTTATTTGTAAAACGACGATTTCCACCAGCTAAACTGTACCAGAATTTTATGCATAGAACAAAGAAAAAATAAATTCTGGAAGAGAACATAGATCACATCAAAGTAGATTTATAAGGCAAAAGTATACCATGCTGTATTTGATTTAAGACACGTCAAATAAGTCGTTTTCATAAGAGAGAATTCTGGAAGAGGAGGGGTAAAAAAAACTTACTGATGTGGTGTCGGGAGGCGGCATTAACCCGTGTTTTACAAAGTTCATCAGTGTGTTCTCGTGTATCTTTTAAAAATTAATAGATCTTCCATATTATTGGATCTGTCATCAATGGATACCTCGTTCGTTGATATTAACAGTCACTTGAAGATAAACTTGTTCAACAGTTATAGCATTACAAGAATGGGATTACATCACATCTGACTGAAAAGTACCGGGAACATATTGGCCATGACTCAATCCCCAAGTGAACTCAGAACCCGGTATTTTAAAATGAATTTCAATTTTTTCTATTAATTTTGGGCCAGAAACTGTCAAAAATTTTCAACCTTTATTCTTTTTTCTATTAAAAGTTATACACATAAAAAATGGCTAAAACATATATTGTAACTGGTGCTTCTCGTGGTCTCGGTCTCGAGTTCGTAAAGCAAATTGCTGCTAACGGTCATACTGTATTTGCTTGTGCTCGTAACCCTGATTCCTCCAAGGATCTTCAAGCTTTGATTGATAACAAACAAGTTTTCGGTGTCAAGTTAGATACCACTTGTGAAAAGTCTATCAAGGTAAAAAAAAAGGATACTCTATTTTATTAGAAAAATAAATTAGGTCTTAACCCCTTTCTTAAAGGCTGCCGTTGAAGAAATTGACAGAAAGGCACCTCAAGGTGTTGACATTTTGATCAACAATGCAGGTATTGGTGGTACCATGGGTCTCAATGTTGAAAATACGTGAGTTTTAAACAAAGTAAAAAACCTTTTTTATATGGAAAACTGATAATTTTTTAAAAAAAAAAAGTCCCAAGGAAGAATACATGAAGATTTTCGAAACCAATGTCGCTGGTGTCTCTGAAGTCCTTAAAGCATTTTTACCTCTTCTTCGTAAACGTGGTCAAGATCAAACTAAAAAGATTTTGAACATGTCATCTATGCTTGGTTCCATTGCTGATATGGAGACGGGTGATGGTTTAGGCTTCGGAAGTGCTTATTGTGTTTCCAAGGCCGCTGTCAATATGCTCACCAAGATGTTTGCTAATCAACTCGCCAAGGAGAACTTTATCATTTATGCTTCTCATCCTGGTTGGGTCAAGACTGACTTGGTAAGTGGACTATAAAGTTTTATTTTAAAAGGGTTTCTATATTAACTTATTTTTTTTTAAAAAAAACAAAAGGGTGGTGATGATGCTCCTGTTGAAAAGAAAGACTCCATTGCTGGTCAATTAAAAAAGATTGACGACTTAACTCCCAAGGACAATGGTCGTTTCTACGATTTTGAAGGAAGCCACATGAACTGGTAAATGGTTTTTTTTTAAGCGAAAAAAAAACAATGGATACAGAGTGTATGTTGTTTAAATCGGAAATACCAACAATGGATGAGGCCTATTCTACTATTTAAAACAATAAAACCCGTCCTTACTGATAAATCCAACATTAACTTTTAGTCTGCGTCTCTCTTTTTTTTTCTCTCTCTCTATCTTCCTTCTCTGCATACATTTGACTTTCTAATTTAAACAATCATATCATCTTTCTTATAAGAATGTGCGTAAACCAAAACCAAATTCAAATAACTCAAACAACAGAAACCTCTTACGAGGAGATTGTCCCGCGTGTGGAAACAACGGATCATCAGTGTATTTTGGCTACTAATAGAAAGCGTTTCCTGGCAGAGATACTCGAAGGTTATCAAAATAGAAAATGGTTGGACCCCTTAAAATCTGATATCACGGGACAACCGCCAATGGATAGACCATATTTTCATGAAAGCAAACAATATAAAAAGTGTGAGCTAAGGACACGGGAAAAAGTGGCACCTCTTTTTTCAGGACCTTCCTTACTAGAAAAACTAGCAGGCAAAACAAGGAAGGAAGTCGAAGTTGGTAAATTTTAATCAACGGGTTTTTTGGTATAGGATCAACGCACTGCCAGATCTTTCTAATCATATATATTTAAATTAGAGTACTTACCACCACAAAATGCACTGAGTTATAAAACAGAGAGTTTGAAAGTACGAGTAAAGGTTTCCAGGAAAAGGCCTGCCAAAAACAGATTTAGATATATTGCTGATGTAACCGATACTTAAAATACGGGAATAGGCAAAATAAGAAAAAGAAACTGCTCATTTCGATTGCACATAAATAAAGTAAAACAAATGTAACGAAACTATATTTTTCCAGGTATTTATTCTTCTGACGATGGTGAAGACGCATAAAAAAAAGAACTGTGTAACAGAGTGCCACACAAAGGTGATGGAAAACAGGTTGCTTATTCTATCAATAAAGAGTGGAATAAAAATTGGGGGGACAATACAAGCTTACGATTGCAGTCTTTCATAGTGATGCTGTAGTTCACTGATGATATCTCGGTATGCGGGAAATGAACAGTTTCATTGACACCAATAACATATGAAGGTGACTATCACTGTAAACTAGATCAACAGTCTATTCCTGTTGAATATTCGTTATCGTTGTACCGGTTACGATGTATCCCCGTTGCAATTTAATCATGACAACATAAAACGAAAAATATCTGAATTAAGGAAAGGGGTTTCTGTGCATAAATAGAATACATTGGGTTAAATTTAAAAAAAAAACAGTATTACGTAATTATTTTGTGAAAGCACTCAATGCAGTCAATACACACCCAGAGAGTGTAGAAGACTATTATATTTACACACTATACACCGTCTACACCTCTTATGTAGAGCTTTTGAACGGTAATAAGTAACCACCACCGATCGACAATGCTGCCAGGTAAATACACTACAGATTGTTCAAAAAAAGTCAAAAAGCTACATGGTGTGCTTACTATAAAAAACAGGGGATTCATAGACTCAAGTAATCACAGTGTACGTATTTAATATATCTTTGTGCATATAAAGTAAAAGGGATCACAAAGAGCGCTTATATACTCCTTGTAGCACACACTATTTATTCTCAAATTTCTTCACAAGGACTGGAACGGGAGTGCTTCCAGTTTGCATTATCTTCACAGCAAGATCCTGATGATCTGCTTCTGACTTTCGATTAACGTGATATGTCTTGCAATTACTGCTGATGCGTATAGTCAAAGCAGTCTGGTGTTTATCCACGTCTTTCATTTATCCATCTTGAGGTGGATGACGAGGGTACATTTCATTTTACCCTGTCTTTTAGTTGGGTCTCTAAAATACACGTTCATCAACAGTACCGCCTTCTATTATCCTCTTTGCTGATATTATTATAAACCCACAACAGTCAAGATTAATCTCCCAAGCTTGTTTTATGTACACGTGATTGCTTATGTAAGCCTTAAATGCAAAGTCCTTCTTGCGAACAACAGCTTTGTTCGTACCAGCAGCGTGTTCTTAAAACGTCCGTCTCATATACCGGTATGTCCTCTACTTTTTTTCAGCATTACTGACCGAGTTATAGTCAAACTTGTTCATACGACGTTTTGGTAAGAGCCTCAGTTTAATCTTTGAAAGGTGTTATTACCAACGTATGCTGGAAGTCATCATTCGTGTTTCCCTCATCATTCAGCTCGGAAAGAAATGCCTGAATCAGCAACCCACTGTGCTTGATGACCCATTCTGTCATGCCGTTCAATGTCTTGAATAAAAACGTTATTTGTGAAAAAAAAAAAAAAAAAAAAAAAAGTAGCGATGTCCTGCAAAAGTGATGTCAAAACCGAAAAGAAAACCCCGATCACTTTCTGCTTGGTGAAATATTCACAGACTCAAAGCCGACCCAATACCCATCTTATCGATTTGCATGTGAAGAAGCATTTGAGCTACTGCTTACTAGAATTCCATCATGCACAAAAAATTATTTAAGCCTTTATCTTTTTGTAAGAATCAGATAATAACAGATGTTTTGGCTGATCTGATATATTTGTTGGCAGATATGATTGAATAAGCTGTCCACAGGTCAAACAGATCTTAACCATATACAGCCTACTAGAACATAGTCATACCCCCTGAGACGTTTGCTAAGCCATATGCAATTTTTTTTTTTTTTATATAAAAACCCACTGTTTTCGCTTTGTGTACTTGAGCGCACTGCTTTTTAAATTATAACTTATCGCGTAAAAAAGTGTCTTAGAGTCACGAATTGCAAAAACAAATACCTGAATTGCAATCAGACTGTGATAACTGCGTATATAAAAGTGTTTGTGTATAGAGTTTTTAGACGGAATAAGAAATGAGACTCTTTATCCCTTACTAGCAACATCTGTGTTATGTCAGTATAATGATGCCCTCACAGGAAGCATACTTACATAATTGAAGACAAATGGGATAGTGGGAAAGGTCAAAACGGTTTTCCATGTTGGGTGGGAGCTTTTAGAAGAAAAGGAAGAAAATTGAGGAAATGCTGGATTAAATAAAAACAAGGCCGAGCTACGTGTAAACAATTATTTCCTTGTACCTCTTGTTTATGACAATGGAACCATAACTTTTGCTGATAGTGTTGTCTGAGTGACCCTTCTTTTCAGCAAAAACGATCAAAGAGTCTACTCGTTTGACTCAAGGCACGTTTTCGTAAAAACTTTGCTGAAATGCGTTTTTTCACCCCTTTATCAATGTATCCTGTATCGTTTTAATTTCATTTTTTCAATTTAACCAATATCTGTCCTTCTTACGTGATGCCTTCTTCTCATTGAAGAGCCAATAATCGATCACTGTTGAAACAAACTAAAAAAAATATCATGCCAAGACATTAACATCAGAATATGACAGCTTATAAAAGACAGCCAAGTTCATTTTTTCGACCCCATTTTTCCGGCAATATTTTTAACAATCGCCACTCGCTTACAACTCTCTAACGAATTGACATTCCTATTGGTGTACAACCCTATAATTTCTATCTTTCCAAGTAGGCAATTTAGTGTTTCTGGCGTCGCGAGTACATAGCGCAATGGCGAACAACAAGGTCGGCAATGGTGTTAATGTAAAGATATGGTTTCATAATAAAACAATAGTTTTGAGAGAACATGGGGTAGATTGTTGATTGTCGCAAACATGAAGGTAAAAGAGGTTTTTGCACTGATGGGAGGCTTTTTCTTTTTTTACTTATCGATAGCGAACGCCTTAAAAGATGTATTTTGGTGCTACATACGCCGCTGTGTCACTACATACTCAAAATCAATGGATAACAATTTTTACCACGTCTCCGTGCTTTACGACTTTCCCGCACAATTTTGGGCGAGATAAACAGATGGAAGAATATTACGATTATTCTCGACATAAGTTCTGTATTACTTTTGGTAAGGGAATATTGTTTTTCTTTTTTCGTATATATTATGCTGAGACTTACTTGAATTAGATTTCAGCAACAATGGCATTGCTTCTAGAAAGATTGCTGTAAATGATCATTTTGAATCTAAAGTTCACGTTCAGTAAGTTGACTTCATAACATCCTGACAGTTTTCTGACAAGAATTGGCTTTGTTAAAGTGACGATAAAATTGCAGTTTATTCCTTTTTATACGACACTGCCACCAGAACAATCGTGGCTAGGGGTACTTCGGTTGAAAAGGAAAAGAAAAATTTTAAAGGACAGCAAAAAGATCTTTTTTATGCACCCAACATTTTCAGTGAACTCTATAAACGTACTGCAAATGACAAGATTGTTCTACAAGAAGCGATACGCGCGTTACGACAAGAAGTCGAGTATTGGAAAAAAGAGCTAAATAGTTCGGATGATATGGATTTTTATTATGCATTTACTCTACCCGCAAACTGGGATCACGAAATAATCCGGTCTCTCTTTATAAAAGCTAACCTCATGCAGAAAAATGAAGCTCAGGGCAGATTAATGTTTTTCTCGGAGTTAGAAATAGCTTTTCGACATGTTCAAACTATCCAAACCATGTGCTTTATGGAAACCGATCATGGTGATCAATTCATTATATGTTCATTAGATTTTCAAAACACTGTTAACGTAAATCTCACATTGGTATCGGCTCAGGTTCCTCCTATAACGACAGCAGACGACAAATTTGCCCCACGATTCTTGAATGAAACTAATTTTACGATACCATCTGGAGCACAAAAAGTAAAATCGTCGTTGATAGCATGTTTGAAAAAGCGTTGTAGCACCGTACCATTGTTTGAACTCATTGATATATTGTTCAAAAAAATCTGTTCACTAGAGGAAATCTTAAAGGATGTAGGAAGAAATTAATACGTTGAAATTTTATCAAGAAATAGTCTCAATAACCTTACGACGCACCCCCTTTTTTTTTTTTTAGTCTCTAGATAATTTGACATTTCAAGAAGTATTATTATGCCAGCCCTTTAATGGTTTATCAGAACTATATGAGAAACAATACAATCTGGAGAAAATGGAAATTGATGTCCTGCAATCATTAACCGTGGAGGATATTTATAAAGACCTGTTTGCTTCCGCCGAGATAGAGTTTATGGATAAAATGCAATTTTTACTTCAAGGTGTAACTGAAAGAAAGGATAGATTGATGATAATATTTTACCAAGATGAGCTCAAGTATAATTTTGAATCATTAGTGCTTCTCAAATTGATCGAAAAGTGGTCTAAGACTTATAGCGAAGAGCAAGCGGATTCTTACGAACTTATAGAGAAATACGAAAAACTGAGCTTTCTGTTCGAGGTACAATACAGACAGGATGGACTGACTGATCTTGTGGGAAACCAAATGCAAGAATTCAATATACGTAGAGACCCAATCATAATCTCTCAAGACACAACAACAGAAGAACCTGAAAGCTGCTATTTTGTTAACATAGGTGAATGGGTTCTTATTACATTATCTTAAATGTGTCCTAACCTAACTCTCAAATTTGAATTAGATATATCATCTACACAAACCAATGCAACTTTCACATACTTAGGTATTGATAATCAAGCCAAAAAAGCAGAACAGATTAAATGGTAAATATTATATATGTGTCAAGAATTATTTCTCTATATATTGATGTAAACTGATTTTTTATTTCGATTAATTGTAATAGCATGAAATCATTGGGAAGTTTTATCACACGGCCAGACTTTAATCAAAAGCCAGTGCTTCATCTAACGCGCAGGTAACAATGAACTATGAAGGGTATTTTTTTATCATTGACTCATAATAAAAATTTAGGCTGAAACTACATCTAGAGAAAACATTTGGAACCTATCTTAGAGTGTACTCAAATACTGTTAGACAAGATGAGACAGGAATTTTGTTAAACGATCAAGATTTGGAATTGCTTCCACACCTCAACAGTAAAATTCCGTCGAAAGGGATTAAGGATTTATTTGTCTTTTCGAAACCAAATCTACTTGAACAACTGACTGGAAACGTTGAAATGAATGACATTTTTGGCTTGAATGATAATTACTGTAATTCTGATGGTAACATAATGACCACCTCTGATCCTTCATATTTATTCTTTTTTGTGATAACATACCTGCATTATCTCAACAAGCTGTTAGAAGAAACACTGACAAGTAATTTTGGAAATGATTGGCAAGACAAGGATGTCTGGTATGCTGTCTCTGTAGATAAAAATTTATTGGACAATGTATTCGGCTCAATGAAACAGTTGGAAAAGCTATTCTATGCAAGTGGTATACTCCATAACGATGATAATCTTCGGAAAGCAAAATTCAGCACCCATGGTGAGGAAATTTTGCCCGCTATTCAACAAAAGTTAAAGGACTTGAAGTTCAAGATGAAGTCATATTTTGTTGTTGCACAACTACATGCAAACCATATTCAACTCATTCTGCACCAGGTGGTAAAATTAACGACACCAGGAGAAGTTGCAGCTTCCATTGTTATTCAAAATAGAACAATATATATTGATGATGTGTATGACGTTTTGTGTAGAGAAATTTGGAAGAATTTACAATCCGATTGTCAAATAGATTATTGTCCTACTCACAAAGAGCATAACTTTGGGATGTACCAAGCCTATGAAAATATCTTTCAAAAATTCAAATTATGCGTGATTGCACTCGTAAGTTATAATAAAAGCATTTTAAATGCTTTACTAATTTATTTATTGGTAGTTGGAGAGGAATAAAACAAATTTGGAAAGCATGGATTCCGAAGTAAAATTAAGCACCACCAACAACGAGTGTGCATGCAGTATCAACATTAGCTTTCGTAAGATTATTGAAGTGGGTCTAAAGTCAGTTTTAAAAAATGTAGCAACAATCATTGGATCTTCATTGACAAACAAAGAAATATTTGCTAATTACGAAACAAATTACATTTTTATGTTGGGTGATCCATTTCATCTATCTTACGGCTCATCCATCCACACTGTATACACCCAAGTGCTTCAAAAAGAGATTAATGACAGTATTTATTTGAAAGAAAAGGATACGCAGGCGTTTGCGTTGATAGAATCAGTTTACATGTTGCTGGACCCATTAACACGAATTAAGCCATACTTGTACGAAAAGTTTTCCAAGGGTACTTTGTGCCAGGTATCCAGTGAAACATACGCATTAAGACTGCCGGCCAGATCAAAAAAGTATAATTCTTTCTCTCATATAAACCGAAGCGGCGATGTCAAAAACACTTTACCAAGTGACAGCAGCTACTTTATATTTATTCAAAGAGGGGAACCTTTCCCCTTAACTGATATTAATATAAAGGTAAACACAAACCATGGAAGATATGAAGATAACGGTAAGTTTTCATTGTTTTCTTTTTTTAAGGATCTAACCAATGTCTGTCTAGAAATTATTAAAGTAAAGGACTCAGGAGAGAGTAAATTGAAAAAGTATACCGTTTTGGACAAAAACTCCCAAGGTTCAATGTATATGATATTCAGTAGAGATGGACATCAGCCAAATCCAATAGTTGCAATAGGCTGCAAGTTTGTGAACTATAACTATTCTCTCGAGTTATCTGTAAGAGTAATTGGTTACGATATTGACTATAATGAGAAAATTTTAGAGATTTTATGATTTTGGGAGAGCCGTTGACACTCGCTTACATTTAGGATAAGAATGTTACTACTTCAATAAATATAATGTTTGTGTCAGCTTGATCAAGTATAGTTATTTATCCAATATCCTAGTATTTGTTAATCTAGTCATAAAGCTCATTGAATAGTATTTTTGTGCATCACTCATTATAACACAGATTTTGACAAACATAGCTGCCCATGTCGTCATTTTTCATTACTAATTACACACATGTATATATACATGTCCCGTAAACGTCTGACTGTAGATTATTCTCTAGGTTTTTGCAGATTTAATCACAGCCTTTGTATTAATAGTCGACTAATTGCCATATTTACTTGGATTCGGCTTTTAAGCTCTAGTTTAGGTACAAATATTCCAAGCATGTTGATATAATATTAGTACTAATTTAGATTCCAGAAAGGGACAATTATTATTCTATAACAATTTTGATAGCGTGCAACGGACGTTTAGTAAGCAACTTTGTTTTATTATTTATAAATCAAGAATATTTTTGAAGTGATCTTTGACGATAAAATATATGGATAGGACAATTGCATGTAAATCGATAATGATACAGTGAAGAATGTGAAGTCAATATAACTCTTGGATATAAAAGAGTAAAGAGCTTACAGGGTTTCTGAAAGTTGATGTGATGATTGTATAAGTTACAACTTATAAAAAACAGTAGAAAAAGAAAAAGAAAAGAAAAAGCGGAGGAAATACAACTTGTATCAATTATAAGACCAAATCTAAAGATAAAACTAAAGGAGATTTATTTAACAGAATAAAAAGGCGGAATATTCGATCCCTTGTAACAGCAGGCCGTATTTCAATGGCTGTAACAATGTTTTTAACATGTTAGGGGAGGCATTCTGAATAATCGAAATGCTTTGTATATAATTAGCATGTTCGTCATAAAGTTGTTTAGCTTATTGCATACAGCAGCAAATCTAAAAAAATTAATTATTGTACGCCCCTTCAAGCCAAATAAAAAACCCCTATAATCCAGATTGACAGAGAGTCATGAACAACATTTTGTGCACACATGCATCTACAGAAAATTCCCCGTGCCTCATACAGGGAAATCCGAGATATCATAAACCATCTACAACACACTTTGTTGAAATAAACGAGTCATAATTGATAATTAAGTTGTCATCAAATTGCTAGAGACCATGCAAATGTTTAATACTTTATCATCATAAATTTTAAGCAAATTGTTTTTGATTTTTTTATTTAATTATTGTATTGTAGTGTAGAAAAAGTTTTAAAAGTGAATTCAAGCATTTACAGATTGAATCAATAATACGGTAAATCACCAAACTTCAAGTAGCCACATTTAATAAGCTTTTTCTTCGATCATGCTATTTTGAAAAGACAAGAAGCATGAAATTAATACAGATTGTTTAACACTCGCTGATATAAAGTAAAGACTATTTATTACCGGCGTATATTTCGGTCTATATTTTAGGGACGCACAAAATTAGGTATTGGATGTTGCTGCTTTTTAGGTCGTATTATATGTCCCTTATCATCACGTCGTTGTACTACTTGTCCCTTATCATTCATTAGTAATATATGTCCTTCAGCATTACGTCGTACTCTTAATCTCTGACCATTACGTTCTACAGGTCGCTGAGCAGCATTTTTTGCTCTATTACATTGTTGGATATGATGATTTTTGTTCCGGTTTACGGCTGGTTTTATATTTTGAAAAAATGGTTGTTTAACAATTGGCCGTTGAACAATTGGCTGTTGAAAAATTGGCTGTTTAACAATTGGCCGTTGAAAAAATGGTTGTTTAACAATTGGCTGTTGGACAATTGGCTTTTGGACAATTGGCTGTTGGACAATTTGTCGTTGAACAATAGGCCGTTGAAGAAATGGTTGTTGAACAATTGGCCGTTGAAAAATTGGCCGTTGGATAATTGGCTTTTGGACAATTGGCTGTTGGACAATTTGTCGTTGAACAATTGGCCGTTGAAGAAATGGTTGTTGAACAATTTGCCGTTGGACAATTGGCTTTTGGACAATTGGCTGTTGGACAATTTGTCGTTGAACAATTGGCCGTTGAACAATTGGCCGTTGAACAATTGGCCGTTGAACAATTGGCCGTTGAACAATTGGCCGTTGAAGAAATGGTTGTTGAACAATTGGCTGTTGAACATTTGGCCGTTGAAAAATCGGCTGTTGAACAATTGGTTGATTCCTATTTTTTAAATTATTGTCGTTTTTTTTAACCTGATTGGGAATTGGCTTCTGTTGTTGTTTGTTATTTTTTTGAAAATTCTTTTGTTGACCTTTTGATAAAGAAGTAATTCATTAAAACTCTGTACTATGATAATTTAATATAATTTTCAAAGTAAGTTTACCTACGAAATTTCTCATTTTGAAAATTTATTGAAATATAGTGAAAAAGATAAAAACCCCCCTTTACCCCACTCTTTTTATACGTTGGAATCTAATTCTCTATTGCGGAATATAGTTTGCGAAAAACCGGGTGCAACAGATAAGGTCACGCGCTACCGTGATCGAAAAGGCTCGTTATAAAGTTTGTGACAACACTTATTGGAGATTTAGATCGATATTCTGGGGGGTTTGTGGTGAAAATATGTAAGAGTATGCATAAAAGCCATAAGAATAGTGCTATTGTCGTCCGCAATAATAACTTGGAAGTTTTACGGAAGTCTTATATTTCTACTCCAGACGAACGAGCCACATTATCGGCTCTGGACGGAAGGCCATCCGATTTGTAAATTATTTAAGCATTGATCAATTGTTAAATCTATGAAAGGGATTCACATAGTGAAAGTTTATGATTTCTGATTATACTGAATTAATTTAATTTAGAAACACGCTATTGTCGTATTGTTCTCAAAAATTCTTACTAACAGCGCAATATTACTTACCATTTGTATTTCAAGACCACTGAAAAATATATCTACATGCTCGTGATTTGATAGTGACCAATGATATACAAAACAGTAATCTTGGCCCGATCCGTGTACATATATGATTCTCATTGGAAGTAATTGATTGGATGTTGTATTAGGTTCAAATAACAGCCTGGGGAAGAAGCTCCGGAACTTGGACTTTAAGAAAGTCGAGAATACTCCCAATTTGGCACGTAACACACCATTCATATAACTTGTCTGCATGGTCTTATTACACCCTTAATTCAAAGATACCCTTAAATAGAATACTGCAACTCACACTGTTTTCAGAAAATATTAGATCAAAATGTAAAAAAAAATTCGTTCACGACGTAAAAAAAAATATGTTCATCTTCCGAAAAAAAATTGGTTCCGAAGAACGTAAAAAAAAAAATTGAGCTTACCACTTAAGTGTACCTATGGTTGACCTGCAATAACAGGCAGGAAAATTCTATTTGCGACGTTGACGAACATTTCTAATGTTTACTTGATTATTTTGGGTCCTTGCTCTTCTCTGTTGGTCCTGAGGAGCCTATCCACGTCGAAATATTGGGGGGATGTCGTTTCCAGCACGAAGTGAACGAACACTATCAACCATGTTCAAGCAAGCAGTCATATCACGATACTATAGACGAGGATCAATCCTATTTGTGTTATTATTTATGGCTCTACAATTTTGATTTGTATATCTGTCACAGGAATAAAAAAAAAATTATTAGATAAGAAAGTGATTAATAAGTGAAATTTAACATACCTTAAGAGACGATGTCTAATTAAACGAGGATTTGCTATTCGTCTATGAGGGCGGGGGTTATTGACCATCCGAAATGTTTTAAGACTTCTACGTTCACAGGCTGGGCAGCACTGACTTGTTCTATATTCATCGATCAAGTACACCCTTTTACCAACATTTTGAAGCATCCGACGGAATTTAAGTCCCCCAATGGGCTCATAAAATCTTGTATAAGGAGCAGACCAGTTACCAATGACATAAACAGCTTCGACACCAAACTTTTTATCTAACTGTGCTCATACTACTTCCAGATGTACCTGGAGTTACCAGTCAAGGATTTATCGTAATCCTTGTTGGTAAAAAAAGAGCAGTTATTTGAAGCAAGAAGTTTTCTATAATAACATGTTAGATAAATGGCACTCAGTTTTGGATTGGTTGTTACAATATTTACCTTTTATGTATAAAGTGTTATAAGTATAAGAATAAAAATAGTTATACGTAAAATAATAATGAAAGAGAAAATAAAAATTGAGTAAGGATTGAGGTAAACTTTTTTATAAGATTTATTGTTGTTGTTATTCAGAAAAAGGGAGAAAAACAAAGAACAATGAAATTCGCATGAAGCAATAATAAATGCACTTTTTCTAGCTCTCATTTTATACCTATCTCCTGTGAAAGAAGGCACATGCCTCATATTTATTATAGCAAAATTCGGATTGCTCAAAGATTATACGAAAGCAAACGTAAAATAAATGTGCCATTCAAAGTAAATTGGAATTAATAGGTACCTAATTCCAGATAGCCTTAATACATACAATGAAGTTAATATTTATTTCGAGTAAAACTGTAAATGCCATGTACTTGTATGAGCGTTTTTAGCTCTTTTGGTCGTTTAGTTTTTGGGGTTGACAAAAAAAAACAGGCTAGATACCTTTTCAGGGTGTCAGGTAAGGAAGGAAATCTGGTGCATCCATATCCATTCTTTTGGATGAAGTGACTTTAAATGAGTTATATTATACCCATACAATAGGGCATTTATCCAGGTCCTTCTATATGATAAATTTTTTTCTTCTACTTAAACAGTATACCCATTTAATGATAACAGATATATTTCTCTTTCGTTCATTTCGTTTGTATACTATGCATGGCAAATTAATTGAGTATTTACTCCGTCGCTGATTGAAATTTTATTCTAGGCGTGCACGAATAATTTATGAAAATAGTGTAGAACAGACATAACAAAAAAAGCAATCATCTATGAAGTACGATCATTACTGCGAAAATAGAACTATCAAATAAGATTGATCAAGAAAGTGAACCCCCAAAAAAACAGTATTATTCAGCAAGATATAGAGTACGAGGATTTGAAAATGCAGCGTAAATAGAATAGTGGTTTAGTGATGGTAATGTGGGAATTGAAGGTGTTCTTTAAAGATCCACCTTTAAATCGAAAAAACCCTTATATCGAATACCCTTTATTCGAGCGGTTACTGCAGTCGTAAGACTCATGTAATTGTATTTTGCACACCATTCATTATATACAGGCTTGTGACCAAACAGAGGCCATTTTACTTATACCAAGTTATATAGTCTATTTGCTGGAATGAGATGAGTTTTTTTTTTTTTATCACTGTACGAAAATTTGGCTGTTGACGCAATGACAACATTTTGCATGACACCATACCAGCTCAATAAAATATTACATTAGGTATGAATTTTTAAAGAGACATACGGTACTTCATGGATTGCCATATGTTATTGCAAAACAAATATTACTGCAGACAAATGGGAACGACGTTTTCTCATATCGACCTGACACATCAGGATTGAATACCTTTAGGCTTTTTCAAAAAGTGTTCTAAATTCTAACATTTATATTTATAGTCGTCAACATACTTTAAACTCTGTCGTTATTTCATCATCGCATTATGCTTATATCCTCCAAACGGTTTACTGGCATCATTGTACAGACATTAGTGTACTCCCTTCCTTTAAGACTGACCAATAATTTAGGTGCCCGGTCCGTCCAACTAGTGAGAGTAACACAATAAACCGAGGATAAAACGTGCCCAAAAGAGTAAAAGTGCACATCGTATATAAATGCTAAAACTTTAATCTATAATGGAGAACACAAAAAAGAGCTCTTACTCCATGTGAATACATGGTTTGTTCATTTGGTATGCTTTCAAACAGCCAAAAAAGTTCCCATACGGAGAGTCATGCTTTTGGACTAACAAAATATTTTCTTTTACATGTGTATGGTGCGGCTTGCAGGTTATGTCACACAAGCCCAAAATTTGTCAACATACAGATCGCAAATAAAAGCTAAGCAGTGGATTTTACTGAAGACTTAAGGGAGGAGTTTTTGAGCATATTAGGGACAAACGCTAAAAATAAATAAAATATGAAAAAATCGGAAACCATATAAAGTTGACCCGAGTAAGCATCATTGGTGTGTTTACTGTAACATATTGTCATAATTGTTAACTCCATTAAGAAATATAGATACTATACGAACCCACCCCGCCCCCCGCAGGTGACATGTCCAAATTTTAAGGTTTTTTTTTTTTATATCCGTTACTTCAAATAAAATAAAAAATCCTTCTATCTTTCTTTTTTTTCCCCCCTTTGTGTTCAAATGACAGGTACCGAAGAAAAGAAATCCAAAAAGTTTGCTGTAGGTGGCGGAGACCTTCCACCTTCTCCTACTAGTAGTGCCACACTGACGACAACGACCACAAATAAAAGACCTACTCGACATCATGTCAAAAGACGATCCAGTGGTCGAGTGCATGTATCGAAATTAGCTCCCATGGCAAGAGCTCACAGTAATACAAATTTGGAAGCAGAAGATGAAGTAAAAAAACCCATGAAACGGTCTCAATCAAACAAGTCCTTGACGAAATTAACATTGAGTACCACCACCACTCCTAATGAACCTAAACTCAGCATGATGACACCTGTGATACCAACCCCTGTGGAAGAAGTGCAAGTCAAGGCACCTTCTTCTCCACCCAAGACACCCACTTTGCCCGTACAAAAGAAGCCTTTATTGAAATCTCAGTTTGTCGATGCCAACCAACAACAACAACAACAACAACAACAAAAGAAGCTTGGTAACGTAGCTTCCGTGGCTGCCACTCAGCAACCGACGGGTATGACCCGTACACAACAAAAGCTCCTTCTACAACGAGAACAAAGCTTAATTCATGATGAAAATAACATTGCTCACCCAAAAAACATGATTCGCTTAACTCGAGAAATGGAAAAGATGGGAAAAGAATACCGATGTGTACGAAAATACCAAGATCCCATGATGGAGAGTTTAAAACGTTGCCAACAAGCGAAAAGCAAACCTTCACTGCACACTCGTACTTTTTCTTCTTCGTTCATTGCACAACCCGCTTTACCTCATATGGAACAGCGTAGACAAATCCTGTTAAAAACTGCTCTACAACATCAACAAGCGAATCCCAAAGAAGATACGAATGAAAATAATAACAAATGGAGTCCGTCTCAATTTTTAGATCGTTTATTTTTTGGCAACGCTTAAAAAAAAAAACTCATTAATCATAACACAACATACGTCCAGATGCATTGCCTGCCAATACCATGGGTTGTGTAGTACTCGGATGAAATTGACAGACGCCCGAAATTGCAGTAATATGGTCCCCATCATATAATTGGACAATTTCTTTGCCTGTTTCGCCCGAATAAATGTCAATCGTTTGTTTCATATTACCAATCACAAAGTGTTGCGTCTCTAATCCATTCGGGTTGGTATTCCATCTTGCACGGAAATTAGTTACCCATCTACATATTTATAATAAACATTTAAGAAAAAAAAAATCTATTCACACAAGATACGGTTGCCTTAGTTACCTGCCAGTGTGGTTGTTATGAGGAATGGCGGACTTTAATTCAACGGTTTGAATGTCCTTATTCAAGGTAAATAAACGAATATAGTCATCATAGGCCGTGGTAACCAACATGTCTCCTTTTGGAGACCATGCACACCCGGTGACAGAATAACCATGTTCCAATGACTGTAAGGGTTCAGCCTTCTTGTTCCACATGCGGATGTCCCAAATAGTACAGGTACGATCATTGGATCCAGCCGCCAACAAATGTTCATGCACAGAATTTAAATCAATACAACCCACCTTCTTGTCTCGAATATTATATACTGTCTCTTTCTTATCTGTTCTATTATCTTTCATACCAACATCACCGTCTGAAGTACAGAACCAAATGTTGTGGCCATCTTTCGAAAGACTGAAATTTGTAATAGGGTATTCTTCTTTAGCGGTCCAAGTGTCAAAGACTGCCTTATTCATATCAAATGTACGAATTAAACCATCATAGGAAGACGTAAGTAGTTTGGAATGATCAACAGGATTAAAATGGAAATCACTAATGTTTCTTCGATGTGGTTTGTAGCTGTAGACCACAGGTTCACCTTCCTCATCCTGGCTCTTGACATCCCAGAAGCCTAAATGACCATCAATGTCAATAGCACACGCAAGTATCTTTGAGTCAGAGGGATGGAATCTATTATTGCGATATCAATATAAAATAACCCCCCCCCCCCAATAATATGATCAAACTTACAAACAGCCATTGGTTCGACTTGGAGTGACTTTCACAGTGGCCCATTCATGATGAATCTTTAATTCCGAAAGTTGGTTTTGTAAAACCTGGTCAGGCGTCTTGCCTTCATCGTTGGGTTCCTGCTTCACTGTTACTTTGGGTGTGGTGTTAGGGATGAGAGTCTTTTTCATGAGACCCAGGAATTTTTCCTGATCGTCTGATCCTAATGATTCAATAATTTTAGGCTTCTTCACTTCGGGTTCGGGGGTACCATCGAGGTCTAAGTGGCGTTTGGGAGGTTCACCACGAATACGTGCTGAGGTACGAGAAGGTAATTTGGGTTCCTTTTTTACAACAGGTTTATGTTGTTTTAAAGGTGTCTTCTTCGTCTTCGTTCGACCAATGTTATGAATCTCTAATTGACGTAATAAAGCTTCATTTTCTCTATAGTGAGTGAATAGAAAGAGAGAAAGAGAGAGTAGGTTAAATATTATTAAGGGTTCATTCTTTTTTCTTTTTTTCTTTCGCACAGCAAAAAAAAAAAACAAAAAAAAAAAATTGTTTTATTACTTTATATTTTCTAAACGTTGCTTTTCATAGTCGGACATGGACATTTTTAATGGTAATTTATAAAAATCCAGATTCTTGTAAAAGACGCGTTATCTTTTCATCCTCGCGTTCCCTATTTATAATAAAAAAAAAAAAAATTATTATCTCCGAACAATGAAAATATGATCAGCAAATGTATGGATTTACCTTGGCTCTAGCTTTAAACTCTCCTTGTACAGCTGTTCTTCATCTCGTGTGCTTTTCAGATTGGAGCGAATAAACTCTTGTAAATCCTCTACGGATTTTAATTGGTATAAAGAAGATTGGTATTGTTGGATTTCTCGAATGACTTCAGCTGTTTTCGCTCGTTTTGCAAAATTAATTAATTCCTTGGATTTCTTCAATTCATTGGCATTGCCATCTTCAATAAAGGTTAAATCTTGCAAGTAAATTCCCAGGAAGGGTATACACGGTGGATTGATCGAATGAATAATCGCTCGATATTCCGTGAAATTTCGATTGGCACCCATTAATTTACGGATATGCTGTAATGTTTGATTTGTGCGCGCTCCCACCACTTCCCATGTACGCTTTAATCTGCCCACTGAACTATTGTCAAATGCTGAAAGAATTGCCATACATGTATTAAAGTTGTTGAGAATTCGACATTTCTCTGCTACTTGCACCCAATATTTAATCAACACACTACGTTTCTTGATGTCATGTTGACTTAGAATCACATCAGACACCCAAGATGTCACTTGATTACAATATTCAATAGAAGCGCGAATATTATCAGCCACTTGATCATCTTCCTGCGAAGACCAAGCTTTATCCAAACATTCAATTGGTTTAATCGCACTATATAATTTGAAATCCATAATCGTCAATTGTCTTGCCATTTCTAACGCATCAATATCTAATAATTTAAAACGACGTCGATTCCTTGGTAAGATGGGTTCTGGTGGGTCCGGTAGTGTTAAAATCATCTTTTTTAATCCGCCATTGTCCATCGTATTTGCTTGTCTTCTTCGTTCAATTAAAGATTCCAATTGTCCATTAGAGAATTTCAAGGTGACTTTAATGTTGGTCTGTGTAAATTCCAATAATCGGTCCAATAGAATACTATCGTCTTCATTATAATATAATTCCAGCCAATTCTTCAAGACGTTGAACACACGTAATCGCACCAATTTCAATTTCTTTTCTTCCCACATGATGGATTCTTCCTGTGTTAATCCAGGAGGACACTGTAGATTATATCTGGCTTCTAACAGATTTAATAAATCCACAGAACTGCAAAATGATCTATATGTCAATAAGAATGTATTGATAAAATTCATGTCCAGATAATCATGCATGGTCAAACGTTCCACAAGGGCAGGTAATGTACCTCCTTTAACATTGCCTTCCATATTAAACACAATTTCATTCACCCCATAATCGTATTGTAAGAAATGAGGTCGTTCATGAACAGTGGGTGCTGCTGCTGCTACTGCTGCTAAAGGTGCATCATCACCAAAGAATTTCTTAATCTTGTTATTTGAATTCTTAGAGGGTGGGGCTGTCTGGGATCGTATCATGGGAGGTGGGGGTATCATACTACTGCTACTGGTAATTTCAGACTTGTGTCGATCCATCATTAATTTACGATCAAACTCTTCTTCTTCGGATATCTCTGTGCCATTCATTGTACCTAGTTCTGAAAACAAGTCATCGTCTTCATCTTCTTCTTCAATCACTTCCTCATCCATAGTTGCTAATACGGGGGGTTTAATGATACTTTCGGTGTGTAAGAAGGAAGCATTACTATTACTTCGGCTTCTGTTCTTATTGGCCAATACAAGAACACTGGCACAAATCAATTCAATAGGTTCATACAGACTACCCGCTGCTTGTTCCGTTAGTTGTAAACAATGCTCGAATGTTGATGTATCTTGATTTGTCAATGCTTGTAATTGAAAGAATAAGACGCCTAAACTATCCGCAAGTGATTGTTTCCCCAGTAATAAATCCTTCATTTCCAGTTCCAACTGTACACTTGAAAAATCCGTTTCGTCTAGATAGCCAAGAAACAATCCCGTTTGGTTGGACAAGTTGCGAAAATGAGTGAATAATAAACCTGACAATGACATTTTTTCGGTTGTGGTGTTGGGTGTACTGGCCGCAATACATTTAATAATTGTCTCTGCTGAATCTTGAATACATGTACCCATCGTCTCTAAATTCTCTGCTAAATTCACTTGCAAGCTATATCGTTGTTGTGTACCGGATTGCACATTAGCAGCAGCGATATCTGTGGTAGCCACCCACTGAGGATCGGTGGGCACCAAGGGTAAATTCAAATCTTGACACGTATTGATAAAATTTCGAATCATCAATAAAAGTTCACTGGATTCCGTCAAGATTTTACTGACAGCATTGTCCTGATTATCAAATGAATAGTGGAAGGTTTGTGCTGATAACGTCAGTTTGGACATGCTGGCCATCATGGCTCGATGATGCGAACGTAATGTGCCATGCGCCCTGATGGGTCCAGCATCTTTATCCATGGTATTACTGGCAATCAACATGTTACGAATGGCATTAACAATGGCGATGGAACAGGCATAATAAAGATGGTCGTGACCACTCTTAGCTGCTGTGATTAATTGATGCACAGCAATGGCAATACTGCCAGAGAGTTTAGTCCAGCCTAAAGGCTCGTTATTATCGTTCAGTGAAGGTGCTTTACGTATTGAAGGTTTTCGTGAAGCTGATTTTCTTGGAGGTTCCTACATTTAAATGTAAGCATATTATAGAAAATGAAACCCCACCCCCTAGTTTTTTTTTTTTTTTTTTTTTTTTTTTTTGTTACCATGGTGTCCTGCTTTTGAATGTGCGGTGTAACATGATGTACCCATTGAGGCTAGGACAAAAATGAGTCTATATTAAAAAAGTATTTCATATAAAAAAAAAAAATTACCTTTTCGTCAATTGAATGCAAGGTGCTGTTATCCGACGACCAAGGCATATCCATGTGGCTGGATCGATAATCTGATTCGGATCCGCTGTCGACCATCAAGATGGATTCTTCTTTTGCTACTTCTTCCTTGTCAAATCGCATTTCTCCCGTAATTGTATTCAAATGATAATATCCACTTCCATCTTCTGTTCGTTGAAGAATCCAATGATCATTATCTTCCTCTTTATTGTCATGGTTAGGTTGGTAGGCTAGACTAAGTCGATACTGATTTTTCGGTGGTTCCTCCTATAATTAAATAATGATGAGTTGGAAATTTTTATATTTTACAGAAAGCGGACTCTCTGTTTATTACTCACATCCTCATCTGAATCTTCCTCGATTAATTTAACATAGTTGCTAGGAAACCAGCCTCGAGTTTCATTACACCTATTTTGTTATTTTAGCATATCTTTCCTGACACACACACACTAGAAAAACGACTACTTACAATCCGTCCCACCAGCCTGAAGGTAGTTTGTTCAAAACGTCAATGAGGTCATCTTGGTTAAAAGAAAGCGATGAGGGATCGTTTGACTTGAATGGGTAAAGTGCCTGAACTCTACATAAAATGGGAACACTTGACATATTTATTTTGTAGGAGAAAACAACGACAACAAAAAAAAAAAGAAGAGAGTAAGGTTGCAACTAAAGTTTTTTTTTGTTTTTTTTTTCGTGATGATTTTTTTTTTGTTTTCGATAGGTTAATATTTCATTAAAAAGAAGAAAGAGAAAAAAAAAAGGAATTGAAGATCACAACTGTTTCTCATGAGTGTAACGCATGGTGTTTCTTTACATTCAAGAACCGATGTTCTCTTACCTAAACGAGTTAATATTGTTCAATTGAGATCTCAACTCCAAGCTAGTAACCTCAGCAACCGTGAGTATGCCTATTTTGGTGATTCCCCATCGTTTCCTGTTGTCGCATTCTACTAACAAACAATCCCACAAAATTATATAACGTTGTCAGTTTTTTTAATAAACTGTCTTGTGTACCACGTGTATCGATTTAGATGAATAAAAAAAAAAAAGGCACTCCGACAGTGCGTAAAACTGGACCTAGCGGGTTCATTGTTTTTACATCATAAATTAATTTAAAGGACAAATAAAATGCTTAAACATATGTTAAGCCATCTTTTTCTGTCATTTCATACATTTTTATAAAATTCAAAAAAAAAAAAAAGCTATGTCAAAAAAAGAACTTGGTCATACTCATTTTTTTTTCTTTAGCATTTGGGCTATACAAAAAAGTATATTTTTTCCCTTGTTTTTTTTGGTACCAATTAAGCCAAACACACACTTACGTACGTGGAGTAGAGGCCATAGTCACACTGATCACACATCCTCACATGCACACACTTGACTCCAACACAACATTTACTAAATAGGCAGCTATGGTATACAAGTATGAACACCAAATACCAATAATTTGATTCAAAGAGAAAAGGAACCGAAAAGTGGGAATGAAAGAGCCTCGCCAAAGAATGGCAGAATGAAACCGATCCTCGGGCAAAATCGAACACTTATTGCGCGAGTTCAAAAATATCATTTGCCTGATAAATATTTTTTAGAATTAAAAAGATCAACCATCCAATAAAATTGGCGAGGAATAACTTTTTGTATACAACACCATCACTAAAAGGTCTTCACAATGGGACGGAATCCAGTTAATCTTAACCATAGTGCGAATCATTCTTCTTCTTGCCACCTTTTCTTTCTTTCTTTCTTTTTTTTTTTTTTCTTTTTTTTTTTTCAGCCAAAAATAGCTCACGCCACCATAATAGAATATAAAGGCCCCGCCCAAAAAGTCTCGGTAAAACAAATATCCAACGCATGGCAGATGCAATTGATACCCCATTTTTTTTTCTGCTCTGCTGGTAAATCATTGTACATGTTAGAACTTGAAGGTTTTTATTACATGTCCTTGTCTTCTCAGTTAAACGAATCAACGGAAAACCATTGAGGAAAACATGTCGCATATGATAAGAATCCTGATCTCCTTTGTACTAAACTATCCTTTGTTACGAAATAAAACACCATTGTCAGTTATTATTATGACTGTTGCCAAGGAGATAACTTTGTAAGTTGTATGGCTTTATTTATTCTTCCCAGTAGCAAAAAAATCAGTCAAGATGTAAACTGGATATAAAAAAAGGCCACCTACACAATTAACGCCCACAAAGTGTTTATTTATACTCTCTGTATAAATAAAGCTTCGTTAGACAAAGGAAAAAATAGGACACACACTTCTACTTTTGCTAGAAATATATCTAGGAAGAGCTAATAGGAAGCAATAAAATTATAAGCCTAAGCTTTATATCGCTCATCCAAAGATGAACATCCTTTTGCTACCTTTTTCACGGAATATCTGGAACACACTTATGGCTTTTTGTCATAACTAAATAAAAATAATCCTTTTCTGAGATTAAAACAGTGAGGTAAACAATGCTTTCATCATGGAAGTTGTGCGTAAACAACTTTTGAATTTCAATCATTTACCAATTAAAAACACTACCATTCATCTCAGTGACAATTGCTGATTCGATCCATGTGCGTAACATGGTATTTTATGCATTGCTTTGATAATGTCTGAGGAGATGGATAGGTTACACACAGTCCTAAAATCAAAGAATGTATCTTAGTGTATAACGAAATATGGCGACTACTTCTCATTCTGTTATTTTTATATTGTAGTGATTGCAGCTATAACCAAGAAGAGACTGCAGAATCCACCTCCAATTAACAGAATAAACTTTCCCATAAATAATCATAAATTACATAATAATCATAAGATTCGTAAACAAAAATAAGATAAATAATCGCGGATGCTCCTTAGTTTTTTTCTTCTGTTAATTTTTTGTAATAAAATAGATCTTAGTTTTGACTCGCTGTTTTTTCTTTTTATCATTTTATTCTAATTTCCAAATCGCTATTCACAACATATATCACTCATGAATGATTATATAAAAAAAAACTTGATTTGGCCGTTCTATCATGCGCTTTTGTTTACTTTTCGTTTAAGGGAAAAGTATCAATCTTCACGTCATGTCAAGTCACGAAAAGTCACTTAACAAAAAATAATTTTTGCATGAAAAAAATGGTATAAAAAGGGACCATTTTCTCCTTTTTTTTTTTCCCCTCAATTCTCTTATGCCTAGCATTTGATGCGGTAATCACCAACTACTTCGGTAGGGTTATCGTATAATTTTTTGAACTGGGCTGAAAGTTCTAATCCACTTCCTGCTTTCGGGCGTGTTGAAACGGGCGGGTGGCTTCCCATTGGATCAGCAAATACGAAACGAGCGCATCAGCAAGAACAAAACGAGCGCACCAGCAAGTACGAAACGAGCGCATCAGCAAGAACGAAACGAGCGCATCAGCAAGTACGAAACGAGCGCATCAGCAAGTACGAAACGAGCGCATCAGCAAAGTACGATTACGAGTGGATCAGCAATTTTCAACTAATGGGGAGTTTCTCCAGTGACAGCATCGGGAAGTGTTGAATGATTAGACTTTTGGCCCTATTTAAATTTAATGAAAATGAAAAACAAATAATATTGTGACCTCTTTTTTTTTTTTTTGATTCTCATGCATGAGTTGTCTCCAAAAAAAAACAATTATTCTCTTGTCTTCTAATTGTGATGGGACTGACTCATTTGATAAAGAGCTTTTTATGAAAAGACAAAAAGTCTCACCTGTACCCCATGCATTTGTCTTATATTCTGACATGGAATAAACATGAATCCCTTCAAATACATCAAGCAACTGTCTAATGCTTTCAATTACCCTTACAACAAACGGTTGAGAACAAAGCGATTTGGTGAAAGAAAATTTTGAGAACTTTGGTTATAAATTATGGGCCCATTGGCTAGTAACAATTAGTAGATGCATTCAACGCGTAAAGCAGGTAAAATTTTTTCTTCAAGCACGATACTTTATGAAGTGTACGTAATAATGTTTAAGTGTGGCACATAATTTCTCGGATTTTACATAGCTTTAAAAAATACGAAGGGTATTCGTCATAAAAATATGTGTATGTCTAAAGTGTGCAGATACGTGTGATGTAGCTTTTTTGAAGCATTCTCATGAATCAAGATCGCCTGTACAATTAATGCAAAAGAACAGTGTACCTTGGGTGGCACTGATGTTACACCTCGCAACAGGTTTTGTATCAATTAAAAGCTATTCAGTTGTTGTATGTCAAAAATGGTAGTACGTATCACGTTCATTTATCAAATTATATGTTTTAAATACTTTATCACGGAGAAAAGGTGGTATAATAAATTAGGATTCTATGTTAATATCCAGAGTACGCACGGATTTTCGGTCCCTTCAGTTTCATCAATAATAATAAAAATGCCCAAACAAAATTAAGCATGCCAAAAAAGAATGTTACCCAACCTGGTCCCACTGCTTCTGTCATTGGATTTGCTAAAGAAAAGGAAAACGATGAGTACAAAAAAAGGAGAGAACAATAGAGTTTGTTTGCTTTACCAATTAAACTAAGAACACAGGACCAAATCATTCTTACGAGATTTGCAGCTGCAGTGACACTAGCTCCGCGTTCAGCTACAGCATCAACTAAATAAGACATGGCAGGGTTAAACACCTGAACCATGGCAAAACATTGTACACCAAACATGATAATGGATACCCAAATACTCCATCCAAATTGAATAGGCCAACCCCATAAAAAGAATGAAAGTGGGTTCAAGATAAAGGCAGCAGGCCACACATTGGGTGCTAATCTATCTTCGGGTAAAGCAACGCCATCACGTTTTGCTCGTGCACGGTTCAAAAATATATCAGATAATTTACCAGAGATCAAGGAACCGATGACTTCACCTAATCCAGGTGAAATAAACGTAAGTCCCACCAAACCGGAAGACAATCCGTAAACGTTTGTGTATAAAGAAGGCAGCATATTCTCAATGGCAAACATACCACCAAACGCAAATCCAGTTGCCATCGAAAAGACCAATACAAATGGGTGTCGTAATAAGGCTAAAGAGGCCAATGGATTCATGCGTTTGGTTTCAACAATAGTCGAATCCGTTTCCTGCTTTTCATTGATATTCGTCTCCTCCGTACCATCTTTACCCCACACGGATTCTTCGCGGTATGTTTCTTCCATTGCGAAAAACACCAACAGTAAAAGAATACATCCAAACACAAACAATAACCAAAATACAGATCTCCATCCCCATCTTTCAACTAAATAGCCTCCAAAAATAGGTCCAAATAAAGGCCCGGCGAATTGTCCGGTAAAATAAATACCCAATGCATTGCCTCTTTCGTGAACTTCATAAATATCGGCGACAGACCTATTAACATGTCAACTTTTTTTTCTCTCATCATTCACTAGCTGATTTTTTTTTTTTTTTTTTTACCCTGCTCCAATAGCCCAGGCTGAAGAAATACCAATGGCTTGCAAGATTCGCATGCCAAGTAAGACATTAATGCTGTTGGCGAAGACGGCAGCTAATGAGCCCACGGTGTAAATGATTATCGAAAAGAAATAAACGGATCGTCGAATTTTCCAGTGATCACTGATGCTGCTATAAAAAATAGGCTACAAAAGCAAAAAAAAAAAAAAAAAAGGGAAAGGGTCCCCCTTTGTTTTGTTAGTGAGGACAGCAGAAAAGTATTGTACTTTTCTATCTTACAGCAATACCCATAAATAACATGAATAAAGAATTACTGAGTGTCACCATGATGGAAGGACTTTCTAATTCCAGCATAATTGCTTCTAGTGCAGGTAACTGCGAATTATAAGTACCAAATCATTGTTGTCAAAAATAAAAAAAGGGAGCTTTACATAAATGGTGGAACAAAATCCAGGGATAATGGCAATAAAACAAACGAGACCCAATAGGAGTCGTTTTCTCCATTGTGGTAAATTACGAGGATCAGATCTCACAGGTATCTTTAATTTGAATAAAGTTCCCCAGTATGTCATTTTTTTAAAAACAAGAAAAAGATAAAGAAGAAAAAAAAAAAAGTGAAATTGCACAAATCCAGAATTTTCTTTTTTTTTTTTAAAAAAAAAAAAAACTTTATTTCGTCTCACCTCGATTTGCCCAATCAAAACTACGGTTTTACAGAATTCATCAAGACCAAGCCATTCGATAAGCATTTAATAGGTGATTTCATCAAGTCCATTAATACTTGAGTGTTCATATGTATACCATCGCCATGATCTCTCCTCAACTGAATCAGACTTTGTTGGTATCTCTCCAACGCACTTGATTTTAGCTGATGCAACTGTTCTGTAATATTAGAAGAGATCAAGTCGTGCTGGATCATCATAAATAGCAGCGATCGAAGATCTTGTTCTTTTAAAGGTTTCAATACATCAATTAGATTCTTTTCAATCTTATGGCTTGTAATGGTGGGTTGTAATAATTTAATTTGTTCAGTGATAAAATCCGCTTCCAACGTAATGATATCAATACGTTCATCCATGTATTGTTGGTTTTGTTGTTGATCCGCATAATCATCTTGATAAAATTCTTTTAGCATGGATTTTCGTTCTTTTAATAAGTCTTTTTGTTCTCGTATCAGTGTCAATTTCTACACAAAGAGCAAAAAAAAAAAAAAGGTCGTGAATAAAAAAGGCAATGGATCAAACACATTCTTCCCCTCAAGTTTTTACCTTTTGTTTAAGTGTCTTTAACATTTCTGTACAGAACGCATTGGATTTGATATTATCAAATGCTATTATTCTTTTAAAAAAGAAAAAAGAAAATGAAGTTAGCGTTTATGCATCTGCATACACTTTCGGTTTATAGTTACCTTTGAATTTCTCGATGACTATCTGCAATATTTATACGTTTATTAGAGATTGCAGTCATGGCGGGTCGCTTGATAACGACTTCGCTACTTTTGGTTGTTGTTGTAGTTACGGACTTGGTGGACCTGCTTGTGTTGCAAATAACATGAATTCGATTTAATGCGAGTTTTACTTGTTGCATGGTGGGACTATTCTCAGTTAAATAGGTAAGGGCTTTTTTGACATGCATGGCGATTTGCTTTAATTGCATAGGCATAGCTTGGTTTTCTTCTACAACCATTGTTAAACGGTGTGTGGTCTCGTGTTGTTGTTGTTGTTGTGGGATATGGATGGTATTGGGTTGCTTCATGAGACTAGGTTTATTATTTTTTTTCGTGATATTGATAACAGGAAGAAGAGGAGGGGGTGGTGGTAAGGAGTTTAAACTTTCAGATTGAATAGGTTGTTGCTCTAATTGTTGTATCAATGCCTTTTGTTCTTTGACACTTGTCTGAAACATGTTCAACATTTTGATGAATAAAGGATCCGTTGGTATGTTATCATTCTGCAAAAGAGAAAGTTAGTCTACATATTGGGTAAAAGGGAGAATATCAACTCTTACTGCTTTCATTTGTTTGATGAATAAAGCTTCCTTTTTGTTTCGTGATCTTTGTTTATCCAATGAAAAGACGACATTGACTTGCTTCTTCTTGGTATAGGTTTTGCGTTTTGAACTGGTAGATTTGACAGGCTTACTAGAGCTGTTGGAACCAATCAAAGTAATACCATCATCATCATCAACAACATTTTCGTTATTGGCCTCTCCCCTAGATGATAATGCATTATTTTTGGCTCTTAAATCATCTAACTCCAAATGAACTTCCTTCATAAAGGCATCATTAATTTGTATCTCTTGTCTCAATCGTGCAATTTCAACCTTCATGGTATCTACTTCTGATAACTGCTGATTGATGACCACACGATTAGTGATATTTTTGGCACGATTGGCATACTTCAAAGTACTGGTGGTTTCATTGGCGTTGGAATCAGCAGGAGATACACACGCTAGCATTAGTGTTTGACTATTGCCACCCAAACTATCCTGCAAGAGTCGTGTCAACTTGGAATTTCGGTAAGGGACATGACTACTTTTTGACTTTCTCTTCTTTTCATCCCCCAAAGCAGAAATGACGTTGCCTAAAGCTAGGAGACCTGAATTAATTGAGATACCCTCGCGTGCTCGGTCTCCCTTTGCGTTGGTTCGTTTTAATCGTTCAGAGCCTGCTAAATCTACAAAATGAAATTTAGAATGGATGACCGATTGTTCTAATTGCTGAACCAAGGTGACCGTAAAAATAGCATGGGATCGTGATGAACTGCTGTTCATATCAGTTGAAGCGGTTGTACGTGAATTCGAACCTAAATCTAAACAACTTTTTTTTTTTTTTTAAAAAAATATAAGAATATATCCAAATAAAGATGTTGCTATGTATGTGTGTGTATACCTTAAAAGATCTGCAGCGTTGCCTACAGATTGTTCATGTACGCCAGACCAAGATATGTTTCCAAAGACATCTTCACGAATATTGACGGAGGCGGCGGTATTTGTATTTAAAAGGTCGATAATATCTTCGTGATACAGTTCTAAAAAGGATACCTTGACCTTGAATTTGGTTGGATCGCCTTGATTTTGAATCCATTCGAATAGGTTTTCGGTAAAACGAGGTACGATACCTTGATTGGCTGTATCGGATCGTGTTGAAGTACCCATACTATAGGTCTTTCCGCTGCCTGTTTGACCATATGCTAAAATGGTGGCATTGTATCTAAAATAAGCCCATAATAGGTAGGAGGTTTAAAATAAATGAAAATAAAATCTTTTTTTTTTCTTTGTTCTTTTACCCTTCGGTAAATTGATCAAATAGAGGTTGTATGCAAGAGTTATACACGTGTGATTGGCTGATTTCAGGTGGATAGACGTAGTCAAATGTGTAGCTTTGAGGACGATCCTGACCAATTTTAATTTGTTGTGGTTGTTCTGGTATAAATGTAATAAGCTTATTGTTGTCTTTTTCTTTTTCGTTGAAAGGCCGTACACGCAAAGCCACTCTTAAGGAATAAAAGGCATTTAATTTTCGTTGCCTTACTTCTATTTTTTTTTTTTTTTTTTTTTTTTTTACCTTACTGTCACTGACATTTTTTTTTTTTTTTGTTGGATTTTTGAAGGAAATGAAAAAACAATAAAAGAGAAAAAAAAAGTGTAAACAAACTAAATTAGGTTTTGTGTCGTGTGTGCAAAAGGATTTCCCACTCAAAGACGTAGTTTGAAAGTTTTTTTTTTTTTGTTTGGTTTATGGTTGTGTGGCTGAAGTCTATTATACTTGTCAAAGTTTTTGTTTGTATCGTCTGCTCTCCCTCGCACTCTTTTTTTAAAAAAAAAATACGTTTGTATATCATGTTACTCCTCCTGTAAAAAGAATTCATGTCTATTGTTTGTTTACTTCACTTTTAAACTACGCAAACAATGGGAGTTTTTTATCTATCAAATGACCAAAAAAAGGACCGGGAAATCAAATATCTAAGGTCGTTCTGTCAATCTCGTACAATTGTACCATAGCCGGCCATGTGATCCCACGTAGTCCTGATCAAAAGGAAACATGCAGTAAAAAGGAGTAAGGTTCAAGCTCAGATTCGACTGTTCATTGGTATCGGCGATCCTCTTTTTAGAAATATTTCAGACAACAATAGAAAAAAAAATAACATTCAGACTGATGTAAAACAAAGTATATTGTAAGACAGGACTTTATAAACTTTAAATCGGAAATGCAATCGTATTGAGTACAGGTCACTCTATATTAGTTACTATATCGGTATCTTATGGACCTGAACATATCATTTAGAGACTTACAAACTCGGTTTTTGATCACATCCACAAAGCCATTGGATACCATGAATATGTAACTACACAAATTGCAGACTCTTGTATGGTGAAAGTACTATCGATCAATTTCATTAAAAACACCCGGGTTTAAGAAACATATTACACTCTCATTTATGATGGTGTAGATATAGGCGAGTTACTCAACGGCCTGCCAACCTGTCAGTACGCCTTACGAAACTTTTGCCACTGCTTATAGTAACAGACCGAAAAAAAAAAAAAATTAACGAGAACAAGAGAGAGAAAAGTTAATCTTAGCTATTTGCTTTAATCACGTCAACAAGTATAAAATGACGATTCATCATGCCAGACTGACTCAGAATATTAGTTTTTTTCTTTTACTCAGATGAGTCCGAGAGACAATTTATTTCGCTATTGGGCTGCTTATTACCATTTCCGTTTTAGATTTTTTTTTTTTTTTTTTTTTTAGTAATTCTTGTGATTTATCGACTGGCGTAACAAAAAGTTGTTTAAAAGAACTTTTGAGCCTACCTAAAGGAGATACTTTTACTTCATACCACTGAAATGATGACACATGCCGCTTAATAACACAAAGTAATATTATGATTCCGGTACCGTAGAAGGAATGAAAGTGTACGAGATATTTATCAAGAAACCAAGGATGTTACAATCAACATCTCTTCAACAAAACTACATCACCCTCAGCAGTATATCAATTATACGCAGTACGCCATTGTTAACATGCCCTTACTTTTTTGATTCTTACAGTTTCAAGGTGGCTAAAAATAAATTGGATAAACTACGGCGAGGCAAACATTAAAGCTTTAGATAAAAACCGTCGTGTCCGTATCCACGGGTCATTAAAATGTAATATGGTTGAATGGAAGAAAGAGAGAAAATATCGTACAAAAAGTAAGCACTGGGGTAAGTCAAAAGAGTTTATTCTCTGGTAAGCTTCATTTTTTTTTTTTACATACAGTATTATCACTTTAAATTCAGACAAATGAAAATTATTTTCAGACAAGCTCAAAAAAAAATTCAGACTAAAAAAAATATTTTCAGACAAACGTAAAAAATTATTCAGACAAAGGGAAACTATTTCCAGAAATATGATAACAAAAATTCAGACAAGTAAAAGTTTAAACTAGTTTTGATTCTTTGTTGAGGCATTTATCCCAGTACGTTTCAGAGTGCCGTATCCAACCATTACAATTTTCCGTGGTAATAGTCTCACAGGCTGCCTTGATTCTTGGGGTTAAAGTGTCCAAAGTGGAAAGCGGATTTCTTTTGATGTGCTTCTTGATCTTGGACCAGCACTCCTCAATAGGATTTAGAAATGATGAAAAGGGCGACATGAGCAAAGGTTTATAACCTCTACTTTCGATTTATCCTTCACTAAGCAAGGTTTGAGTATCTCCAATGATAGTCAAATTATGCTTTGCCCTCGTCATGACCACCGAAAAAATGATTGAGCTTGACATATGATGTACAGTGTAATTGCAAACAATAAAATTATATTTCTTTGCTATTCTTAAAACTACTTCGAGCTTAACACTATTTAAAGAAAATGAACAAGAAGGTGTTTATCAAGAGGATGGATTTGAAGCAATGGATTTTATTAATGAGATAGAGAGCCCCAAAAGACAGTAATGCTGACTTCACTGGATTAATGGCAGGCACGTTAATCATCAATACGTGATGAATTCACTTCCAGAGATATCGGGGAAATTGACGTAGAAATTCAAGAGAACAATGGCTCAAAAAATAGTCTTAGACCGATGTGGACTACTGAGTAGTTGTATATTTGTAGTTGATATTATTATGAGACCACCAACAGATAGATCGACTAAAGGAAACACAATAGTAGTTGAAACACCAACCTCCAGGGCTATAATTCAACGATCTTAATTGAAAATATCTGTAATCGGCGTTGTGAATATTGAGATTAGAGTACCTGCCACAAAGCCAAAAAAAATTGAAGTTAAACGCCTTTCTGCTGTTAACATAAAATAAGCTCATAGCATAAATCGGCAGGGGTTTTCTACATGTAATCAATCAGTCTGATTTTTTTTTTTTTTTTTTTTTTTTTTTTTTTCAAAAAAGGTAAGCTAAAACATCTGGATTTTAAGTGTAAAAATTGTGATAGATACTTTTTTTTTAATCTTTTTTTCTCTCTTCATTCTTTTATTCAGTTTAAGCTATGAAAGGTAACGTATATGTATGATATTTGATGGAAATGTAACCAAAAAACTGATTCTATTATAAAAAAGAAACTCAAAATGATAGCTCGGACGATGACTTTCAACCACCGATTTTGGGACGGAAGAGACGAAGTATGTTACATTGCCAAGTCTTATTTTGATAGAAAACTTACGTGATGTTTAATTACCCTTTCTTATAGGTCGGGAAAATACCCCATATATTGATTCCCAAAAGAAGTTTAAAGGGAAAGGCAAGGCAGCCGAACATGAACCTGATATTACAAGTACCATTGGTATTCCTGATTCTATTAGAAATGTTGTCAGCGACAATTTGATAGATTATAGCAGTGACGACTTTAATGAGTCCCCGCCTGCAATACATACATTACGAAGTCGTGGTGGTTCCAAGTACGGATCCGAATTTACTGTTGCCGAGTCAAGTTCTTCAGTAAGTAAGCGACGCCCTGTTGCAAGTAAGCGAAGTCCTACGCCTGAAGTATTCATAACAGCATCAAAATCAAGTACCAGTGTCACTGCGAGAGATTCTGAAAAAATAAGCAAGCGCGTTATTACAGTTAAAACAACTGCGAAGAACATTTGGAAGCCGTTGTATTTACAGCCATTGTATGATTTGGTTAAAACTACTAATTCATTGATTACACACACCTTTGCCTTCACAAAGTACATCTATTTACAAGAATTGGCAGCAAGCGAAACTTTTACTTTAAAAGGCTTTGTTGAAAAAGATTTTTTTGTAGAAGTTTTTTTAAGTCTTACACTTTCAAAAACTCGAAACACAAGATTAAAGCCTGTAACAAAAAAAAATAGGCAATTGATAGCAAAATACAAAGAGGCTTACTTTCAAGATGCTAATTATACTCCTCCCAGCTTACCAAATGCTCAGCAAATAGCATTGTATGAATGTACCAAAATCCAAACGGCTTACCATAACAATATTAAAGCTCATTTTGGAAATAGACTGCGCCAATTTGTTAATATTATATTACAAAAGAAGGAAAGAGCAAATAATCTTCGGAAAGAAATGAAAGAAAATGGATCAGATGAAAAAGCAATAAAATCAGCTATCCGAAGCAAGATATACGGACCTTGTAATCAGATCAGTCGTGCCGTAGCAAGGAAAGAGATACCTACAGACAGTATTCTAGATGACCAGTCAAGAAAAGAATTAAACAGTATCTTTTCCTGCTATCCTAAAGACTACACTTTCCAAAAGGACTCCATATACTATGATATTGCAGCAAAACCTGAGAATCATTTTGATGCGTTTTTTCAACTTGCCAAATTAGTTGAAGCCAGAACAGGAAAAGCATTTATCTGCTTCCCGTTGCGTACTTCCTTCATTCCATGCTACATGACTTTGGATGCCAAAATAATTCACTTTCATATTCTCAAGAATAAAAGTCCTCTCCAAGCTGGAAAAAAATTTAAAATTTGGGGTTCTGTCGTGAATTTTGAAAAGAAGGCGTTCAAGAATCAAGGTGTTGATAAGACTTTAAGGTTTCAAGGAACACTTGAAACAGATGGTGTCGGTGTATCAATTATTAAACAAAACACAGATACAAGTAGAAAATTCTTTACAACCAGCGTTAAGAGAGTAGTCGATGATCAAGAGAAGTATATAGAACGGCTAAATCAAGCTGATTTAAAACGTACTGAAAACAAGTGTGTTCTGATCGACCCTGGAAGACGTGATTTATTGTATTGCATGAAAGAAACTAGTACAGTTAAAGAGAAGCAAACTTTGATTTTTACCAAAAATAATCGCTCAAAATGCTCAAGACATTTCAGATATTTACGGAATCAAAACAAACCTTTGGTTGTCCAAGAAGCCGAAACAACGCTCTCCAAAACAGAATCCAAATCTACAAATTTGGAAAACTACATTCAGTACATAAAAGCCAGATCATCCGTTAATGACACGTTAACCGACTACTATGGAAACGAGACATTAAAGCCCAAAGAAATCTCCTATTTTCCAGAGTCAGAGTTTTCATTCCGAGTTGATCATAAATGCAATCTGTACTATGGCAATATATTTATATCACGAATTTGCGGTTTTTTCCCTCAACCTCAGAACTTTTCCATTGATAGGATTGTCAATCCTCAGTTTTATGCCGTATATCTAGAAATGATGCTGTCACAAAAGCATATCTCACAAAGATTTGATGATGATGAAAAAAGAAGAATTATTGCGCTTGGTTTAGAGATTAATAGACGACCCAACCAAAGTGATCTTAACAGAAAAACTCTCAGTACAGTCTTAGAGAAGTTACAGCTATTACCTTTTCGAAAAATGAAATTTTCATCAAAGATGTTTTATGAACAAAATGATCAAAAATTGGTACAAAACTTGAAAAGAAAATTTGGTCCTGATGCTGTCTTGGTACTTGGAAATTGGTCAGCCCCAAACACAAAGTTCCAGGAACCTACAAGGAATAAAGGGCTTATTCAAATGCTAAAAAAAAATGGTTTGACTGTTTATCTAATTGACGAATTTAAAACTTCCTCTCATTGTCCAGATTGTGGTGACGTTTTGGAGCAATTCAAGATGATTCCTAATCCTCGTCCATTTAGAAGAAATACAATGCCAATCGTGAAGTGTCATGGATTGTTAAGGTAGTATAGTTACAATTATATTCGTTATGTTGATATTAACAAATTATCAGATGTCAAAATACTGCATGTGTTACTCAAGGCAGAAAATTTTGGAATAGAGACCAAGCAGCTGTTCTAAACTTTAAGCACATCCTATTCAATCTCAGGGAAGTAGGTGAGCGCCCTGCGCTCTTTTCTCGTAAAAACGAACAAACTCAGTAATTTTCCGCCAAAGTTATCGCTTTGGCAATTTCATGCAGGTAAAATTATCTGAACAATAATTTTCTATTCGTCCGAAAAAAAAAGCTCAATAGTCTGAACTTTTTTTATATTGGTCTGAATTTATTTTTGCATCTGTCCGAAATTAATTCTAATTTGTCTGAATTTATAGTGTAAATACTGTATTCAGCTTTTGGGATCATTTAACTCCTATGCATGTAAGACGAGAGTGTATGTAAGATAAGAAACTTAGAATGTCTCTAAAACACCGACCATAAGCCGATGTTGATTTGCAACAACTGTACATTTCAGGAATAGTAATATTATGGTGGCCAAGAGCATGTTTCTCATTTCACAAGACATTGAAAGTGACGATGACAGGCTTCCAAGGTTTCCAATGCCTCATCAGTGATAAATTACAACACAAAGCACCACACCAAACTTGAGCTACTCCTGCACTATTATTTTGTCTAAAATAGGTAAGGTGGATGTCTGAAAGTAAAAGTCTGTCTATAAAAAATTAGCCCTAATCTAAAGTACGACAGGCTGATCTTTAAAATGATATTCTGTTCATATGAAAATGCACCTTCTTTGTGTTTGGTCTACAAGCGATGCGTCTTTAAGCTTGATAATGGTCTTATCATGTATCTTTACGTGAAATGATGAATAGGTATTAAAATAAAAACCTGCATGGTCGATTTTTATTTTTATTTTTAATTCTCTATTTGCATGCTTGTCAATTATCGTTCCTACTAAAAAAAAAAAAAGAATCACAGGGTCAAATAGCTGATATTTTTCCATTCCATTTTGGGGGGGGGGGGAAGGGTAATGTTTGCAATTGATCCAATACAAAGATTTTATTTTTATTTATTATTACGCCAGATCTCTCAAAAAAAAAAAAAAAAAATTAAAATTCATCGTTGTTCGATTTTGGGGGCAATATAGGAATTTTAACATGATCTTTGGGAATAAATACCCCTCCTCCTTTTTTGCTTTAAGGGTAAAAAAAAAAAAAAAAGATGCATGGTTTTAATGCTTAAATGGTTCCTATTCGGTGTCAAAGAAAAAATTTGTTCTTATTGGCAATGTCAATCAATGTATGTGTTGTACCTGTAAGAAAATAATAAATGTTATGCATCGAGAAAATCAAACGAGATCGTCGAGTCTTTTTGGGACGAAATACATACTGTATTTTATTGTTGTTTTGGTTCTAGCCCAACCTATTATGAAAAGAATGATTTTTTTTTCTTTCTTTCTTCATTTAATTTATAAAACCACGGACAATAAAAATGATTAGTTTTGAATCCAAGCTTCAATTCAATAGAATATTATGGTTCTAGAACAAACGAATTTCTTTTTTTAAAATATGGCCTAACTATGGTTACAGTACACAGACACTGGTGAAAATGAACTGCAGTTTAGAGGCGCAAGTATGAGCTTTTTATGAACGAAAATTTCCTTTACATACTGAGTATGCACAGACATGCGCGTATCAAGAAAATATGGCTGAATTTGAGGTGTAATTTATAGTGATGTAGTTGCGTAGCTACGGATGAGTATAATTCACAATAAAATGAATCATTGTCACTGTAATCTTCTGCGTGGAATAAAGTAACCGGGTGTATTTCATTTTTCTTTTTCTTTTTTTGGATGGCCACAATAAAAATGCCCGGGTAAGGATAATGGATGCGTATTATCATGCAAGATGTAATTAATGCAATGAGGGAAAATCAAAGGGTATCTCCAATGTCTGAATTTAAAGAGTAAAAATGATCTCCTCTCTTTTTTAATTAAAACACCCCCCGCTTCCCTTTATCATATCTAAATCTTTTCTCTCTTACTGCTAATGAATCCCCCTCCGCTAAAAAAAAGGGGGGGGGAGCACACAAAGGAAAGATGATAATGAAAAAAAAAAAAAAAAAAGAAAGATGAAATGGGGGATAAGTGGTGAAACTATGATTGTCATTTATTGTAGATCCTAAATTTTGACAGCAAAAAAAAAAAGAAAAAGGGAAAAAAAAAAAATTATTTGTTTGCGTCATTGTTTTTCCCAAAAAAATTGAGTTTTGACTATATAATTTTTTTCTTGTTTATTTTTTATTTTCTTCTTTTTTCTTTCCTTTACATTTAAAAAAGACATTAAAAAATGAGCACATCAGAAAGAGCACAAAGTGATTTCAAGAAACTTAAATCAAAGTACACTTCACAATTATCTACTTTAAGGGAATTATTTACAGAATGGACAGAAGAAGATCTTTTATTTACGCTTCAAGATGCGGATGGGGATTTAGAGCTGGCTATTGACCGTATTAGTGAAGGTAATTTTTTTTTTAGTTTTGCATCTACAGAAATAGTGTGAGTAACACCATGAGGAAATATAAAAAAAAAAAGGTCATGCTAGCCAATGGGGTGAGGTAAAGACAAAAAAATCGAAAAAGGAAGCAGCCGCAGCCAACAAAGCAACTTTAGAAGTCTCGACATCTTCGACAACTACAATTTCATATCCTCCCGCTGTGACAAGACCTGCGGCTTCTTCTTCTCGAGCCAGTGCAGCATCATCCTCAGCAACACCAACAAGTACAAAACGCCCGTCCGCAAACTCACGACAAAAGCCTACACAGACTAGCACATGGCAAAGTAAAAAATTAGACGATAGCTGCTGGAATTCAAAGGATAACTGGAATACAAATGATGCCTGGAGTCAATCAAAGGATCCTATTAGTATTGCTGAAACTCCTAAAAAGATATCAACTCCCTCTCCCTCTACCAAAACAAGTAATGCTGGTGGTGCAAAGACCTGGGCTAGTTTATTACAGTAAGTATACACACATATCGGTAAAAAAAAAAAGAATAATTTCTAAGACAAAACTATCCATAGCACAAAACCAGAGCCTGTGGTAGAGGCTGAACCCGTGAAAGAAGAAGAAAAAACACAAACACATCATGAACCAGAGCTTCAAAAAGTAGATGACGCATGGTTGTCCTCAGATTCGAAATGGGATCAACCTCTTCAATTACCGACTTTATTAGACAAGACAGAAGATGAAGTGGTAGTGCTGGAAAAAGAACAACCCGTCACTCCTCCTCCTTCCACTGCACCCACTGCTGCTGCACCCGCTGCCGTGGCACCCACTGTTGCTACACCCACCGCTGCCCCCGTTGTTACCCCCGTTGCCTCTGTTGCACCTTCTCAAGTGATCGAAAAAGAAATTTCGGTAGATTTTGGCAGCTTAAGTTTACAAGAAGCCCCAGAAACAACGTAGGTTTCTTGAAAAAAAAAATAACTCCACGTTTTTTTCGTTAATATTTTATTACCATATATAGTAGTTCAAGTCATCCTAGTGTTGCAGACATTTTGAATTCTGTGAAACAACAACCCTCTACCTCCAACACAACCGACACCACCTCATCTACCACTACTCAACCCCCTATCGACCAACACTTATATCAACAACAACAACATCATCACCAACAACAACAACAACAACAACAACAACAACTTCATCAGCAACAACACTTGTACAACCAACAACAACAGTACCAACAGTTTGGTATCCAAGACTACAATCCTTCTTTCAATGCTAATGATTATGGATCAAGCAATTATTATGGTCAAGAGGACAAGACCGATCTTGGTAGCCACACCTATTCTCAACAACCATTGTATAACCAAACACCTCAACAACAACAACAACAACAGCAATCGTTCTATCCTTATTATTATATGCCTAATCAATTCAACGCTTATTCTCCCTACGGTCAACAGCCTCAAGCACAAACCAGTGGTGCCAACGCGTTCATGAACGGTAGAAATAACATGTACCCTACCTCTGTCTATGGTCAACAACAAAAGACCACTGCTTCGTCTCCTTATTTAAATAGTTCACCTTACAGTCAAACTCAACAATTATATGGCGGCTTTAACCAATTTTATGGCTCGCCTCAAGTGCCTGTCGTAGGCAACGAATCACCTGAAAAATCAATTCCTACTACTGCCGCTGCCGCAGCTGCTGCTAAATCACCCGCTGCCAGTACCCAAGCTTATGGATCTACTAATTACTTTGGACAATCTCCCATGTTTGGTTACCAACAACAGCAACAACAGCAACAACAGTATCGTACTGGAAATACAAACCAGTATTGGAACCAATAAAAAAAAAAAATAAACTTTTTTTTTTTTTCTTTTTTTTTGCCCACTTACGTTTGTGACATGTTTATAATTTTTATTTTTTGGTTTTTTATATATTATGATGGTATGCGGGTAATTGAGAATGCTGCGGTTGTAGTGGGGGAGGGGATACCATCATCATATTATTAGAAGGTAATAAAGAGGAGGTAGAACGCATGGGAACAAGAGGATGATACTGTACAATATAACACTGTTGATGTTGATTATAATAACATTTTAATCCACTGGCAGGAAATTGATTAAGAACCTGATATAATTCTCGCACATCAATTAACATGTCGTAAAATAAATCATGCAACATGCGATGTAACTGATCCAGTGTATGAAAAGGTGGGATGATGAAGAATTTGGCTTGCGCTAATTCATCTAATTTCAAATAACTGATTCGGCTTCTTTCTAAAATCAAGGAATTTCGATCGCTGGCCTATAATGATTTTTTTTTTTGCTTATCAACTTAACAAGCCTTATATTTTTTTTTTTTTTTCTAAAAAAAAAAAAAAAAAAACTTACAAGGACGTCGCCGAATAATTTACCATGCACATTGTCGGAGAGTGCCGTTAATGGAGTCCATCCATTTGACCATCGCATATTGCCGTCATTGGATACGCGTCTACCCGTGTTAAATGATTCCTCTATTATGTAATCAGAAAAATGCAAAAATGTTAAAAAAAAAAAGCCTAATGAAAATGAAGCTCACCTCGAACAGGTGCCTGTCCAAATAAAAAGTTGGAAAAGAACGAATGCTGAGTTTCTGAATCGTTAACGACATATTGCATATTATTCTGGTGTAACGACCTTGATCGAACAGGACTTCCGATGGGGCCTGCTAAAGAGGTACGACGTTGGCCAATGGGTGCAATGGCTGTCTTATGGTCTGTCAAGACATGGTGATGAGGGGGGTCTACTTGGTCAGTGGGGGATAACGTTGGTATAGAAGGACTAATAGCGCTGGGTGTGGTATCATCTTTTTCGGCTACAAGGTCAAGCATGGCAGCATCAGCGGCTGCAGAAGAAGCATTTTCGGTAGCAGTCACGACAGCGGCTACGGTAGTAACGGCCTTTTTACGTTCTTGTTGATCCTTTTTTAACTGGTCTTGCTTACGCTTAGATTCCTTTTCTGCAAGACGAGCCTTTTCTTCTTTTAAACGTCGTTTCTTTTTTTCTTCCTCTTTCCGTAACCTATCCTCTTCCTTTTGACGTCTTTCTTGTTGACGCTTCAATCGTTCTGTTTCCTTGATTTGACGCTCCATTTTTAACTTTTGATCTCGATCTGCTTTTGCAGCTAATTCTTCTTGTCGTTTTAAATCTTCTAATTCCAAACGTTCCTTTTCCTGTTGTAACTTGAGCTGACTATGAAAAGAAAAAAAAAGAAAGTTTTCAATTATTGCTAGGAGAGGGTTCAAAGGTGAAATGTTTTAATTTACCGTTTCTTGTCTCTCTTTTTTTCCTTGTCTTGTTGTTTTTTTAATTCACGTTCCTGACGCTGCCTATCTTCTTCTTCTAATTCTTCAATTAAGCGTTTTTGTCTATCTTGTGCTACCTTTTCTCGATAAGCGGTCAGTACTCGTTGTTCAAACATACGTGCAGCGAACACTTGAAACATCTTTCTCCCTTCTTCCATACGTTGTTCTTCTGTTCTGGAGTCCTAATAAATTTACAATGAATATAATACAATCAAATAGGATTCTATTCTTTTTTACTTCTTCATCATCCTCATCATCCTCATCCTCTTCATCATGATCATCATCATCCTCTTCATCATCATCATCATCGTCGTCGTCGTCTTCTTCGTCTTCATCATCATCATCATCAGACTCTGCGACCTCTCGTTCTTTTCTCATTTTTCGTTCTGCTAGTCTTTCCATCATATCTAAAAACTTTTTGCCGTCGTTCTTTAGGAGATCATCGGCAACAGTGATGATACTTCCTTGTACGGTGAGGGTATTTGAGAGTTCTTCACTTTGATTGCTTTTTGTCGATAGATTATCATCGTCTTCATTGTCTTTGGGACGAATATTATTACTTTTGCGTCGAATGACGGTGGTATAATTATGTTGTTGACGGTAGGCGTATTGTTCCAATTCTTCGTAGTAAGCGTCATACAGCACTTCCAATTCCTCTTCAATGGCACTTCTACCACAGGAGGTCAGTTACAAAATAAAACTCTTATCAACCTTAAACAATAATAATAATAATTACCTCTTTTTGCCACAAACAGAGCAGTTGCACGAGTGCCGTTGCTGTTCTTTCATTTTCCGTAAAACAGCTTCCTTTTCAACTTTGACAAGCGAACGACGTTCTGCTTCAGAGAGGTGTAACCAAAACTCTCGAATACGCTGTCTTTCTTCGGTATAATTAGTACTTGTCCAGATATCACTCTTTTGTTCATGACCACCCCCATGAAGCCATCGCGTAGAGGAGGAGGGAGAAGAAGAAGAAGACTTGACCTTCTTTTGCTGTTGTTGTTGTTGTTGTTGTTGTTGTTGCTTATTCGAGCAATTTCTTGTCGACATGGTCGTGGTAATGTTGGTGGAAATATTGTGAATACTACTGGATGGGCTTGAGCTGATTATCGATGAGTTCATAAATAGATGTATAAGTAATAACGCTTTTTCTTTTCTTTCTCTCTCTCTCTCTTTCTTTATTTTATATTAGTTTATAATATGTAAAAAGAAAAAAAAAATAAAGGGGGAAAAAGAAAAAAGATTAAAAATCCGGAAAAAACACGAATGGTTAAATATCGAATTAAATGCAACGTCATCATTTGAAGTCCATCTCATTGGCCTTGGCATCGCGTGCATTAACTCATGTGCTGTAAACTAAAAAAAAAAAAAAAGCCGTGACGCTTTGTATCACCCGAATAAATGAAATCATTCCCTTTTGTTTCTCTCTTCTTTTTTTTTGTTCGCTCATGACACAAGACTATCCAGTCATTGTCTCCATTGACTTTGGTAAACCCCTCAAAAAAAAAAAAAGTAACCCACCTTCTTTATTAAAACATTTTCTTCTTCTTCACCAGGCACCACTTATTCCGTAAGTGAAAATACTTTTATATATATATCACTGACTAATACATACGCTTTAAATAGGGCTGTTGCTATGCTTTAGCAGATACCGCAGAAGTCCATGATATATTCCGCTGGCCCAAGAGTAATGGATTCTATGCCAAAGTGCCTTCCTTACTCTACTATAAAAAAAACGGTAGACTTTTAGACTGGGGAAAAGGTGCCAGGTTACAATCACTTCGGGTAAAACAAAACCAAAAAAAAAAAAAAAAAAAAAAAAAAAAAAATCATACCATAACCCACAAACTAAACTTGTACATGATAAAAGCCTGATAATGATGGCACATTACTACAGTATTTTAAACTAGCGCTGATCACTGAGGAAATCCGTTTACCTGATAACAAGACGCATGTGGATGTCATTGCTGATTATCTAAGAATGTTTCATGATCACATCTACGAACAGTTACTCAAAACTCAATTACTGCATGCATACAAACAATGCCAATACCGATATGTAAGCCTCATTTCCTATTGCGAGTAAAGTAAAAACTATTTACTAACCCCCCCCCTTCTAAAACCCAGTGTCTGACGGTGCCTGCCATTTGGTCTGATCAATCCAAAGCATTGATGAGAGAAGCCATGGTGCAAGCAGGTATTTTGCAAGAGGACGATCCCATCCATCGATTAGCATTGATCAGCGAACCAGAAGCTGCCGCGGCTTATTGCGAAAACAAGTATCAATCCTGGAATTTATCAGATGGTGACATATTCATGATTGTCGATGCAGGTGGAGGCACTGTGGATTTAATTACCTAGTAAGTCCCCCCCCCCCCTTTATTCTCAAATTCATAACTTGCGAGTTTTATATATTCCATAAAAAAAAAATTTACACTGATGGAACAAGAAAAGTTTAATTCAAGATGCAACACCGCCTAGAACTCTAAGTGAAGTCACTAGAGGAAATGGTGCCATGTGTGGAAGTGCATTTATCGATCAAAACATGAGTCTCTTACTAAGATCAAAATTGAGTAATGGTGATATACCTTCTTGTATGTTTGAAATGATGATGGATACATTTATTGAGACCATCAAGGTAAGAAACTTGAAAATAGGTCGCAGTGATCAAAATTGTTCAACCACCCTTTCTTTTTTTTTTTTCTATACGTATAGCCAAATTATCGAGGAGATGAAACAGACGTGTATTTGATACCTGTACCAGCTGGAGCATTGCAATACATTCAACCCGAATTTCTAAACGATGATCACCAGCTGATATTTCGCCCTACTGAATTGAGAGACCTTGTTTTTCATCCCGTTTTAAAAAGAGTGGTCCAACTTGTAAGAGAACAATTAGCCCAAGTCGATCAATACGTACAGGCCATCTTTCTTGTAGGAGGATTTGGTTGTTCAGAGTACTTGTATGACATTCTAAGAGAGAAATTTCACGGACTTGTGGGTGAGATAGCTATGCCACCCAGAGGTGAATTGGCTGTGGCCCAAGGCGCTGTATATCATTTATTAAAACCAAACCTTGTCACGAGTAAATTATTAAGACGAACGTACGGTGTAAGAACAAGATTACCATTTGAACAAGGATTGGATCCTGAATCAAGCGCAGTGATTACCAAGGACGGTATCAAAAGATGCTCTACTCGGTTTGATGTGATTGCTCACAAAGGACAACGTGTTTTCATTGACCAAAGTATCAAGAGATCCTTCTGGGTTGTCTATCCAAAGCATACCGAAGGTGAGTATCTTATCATTTAAAATCACAGAGTGTACTACTAATAAGCATACGTATACAAACAAAAAAAAGCGGATCTATATGCTTCCGATAGCGATGTGATACCAAGGCAAGTTACAGACAAGGATTCCGTTGTCAAGTTGGCAGAGCTTCCTATCAAGATGCCCTTATTACCCAATGTAAAACCAGGTACTCGTATGGATGTCACCATAGAGTTTATCTTTGGCATGACAGAGATCAAAATGGTTGTTCATCTAGCAGGGACAATAACTGAGCATCTCATCGAATCCCATGTGTAGAAATTCTAATTAATTAATAAACTCGATTAAACTTATTTTCCTGATCAGTGGTAGCGGTTAACTTCAGTTAGCAATGTTTTTTTTTTTTTTTTTGGTTAACTATTTGTTACATTTAGACCGATCATGAATATAAAATTTTTCCATCGCTGTCCCTTTAACACTTTCATATGAATTTTATATCAAAGTACAAAAAAAAAAACGTATTTATTTTAAACCGTGTACAGACCGAAGGCTAGAGTTGATATTTCTTAAACAATGCCGTATTTTCTACGTTTTCTAGCCTGAAATCAAAGGAGATATAAGTTAAACAACAAGTCTACAGCTGATTACATAAGGTAGTTTTTTAACTATAAATTCATTAATTTTTGGAGCGATCTCGCATTTATCTGCTCTCTTTGCATCTTACTTTCATGGTCTCGTTTAAGCTTTAACCGAAGGCTTCTGGCCAAGATAAAGATCAAACGGGTGAAAAGATGCTCAGTTCAACTCTATATCCTCTCTCTCTCCTTGTTCAAAAAAAAAAAGGCAAAATAATGAGTTTCCCTTTCGTTTTTTCTGATAGAGTAGTCCGTGATAGTTTTGCATAATTGAAGAGGAATTGTACGCGGTGCTTGAAATCATCATTTGCAATGTTTTGATTGTCCTTGGGAGTCTCTTAGACAGGTGCTTCTCGTCAAGCGATCTTACCATACTTGGGACGATAAGGTAGAATACGTAATACGTGCGAGATCTTCTTCTCTTTTTCTAACTTGGGTAAGGGGTTCATCACCGTGCTTTATAATTGCGGAGCTGTCGGCAATAAATGAACGACAAGGATAGGAAATCATATCGGTATAGCGATATTTTTTAAACATTTATAGTCGCTTTTTTTGCGGATTTTACTGATAAAAGAGCTTTTCATTTATATTTAGAGGAGGTTTATGGATTATATAAACAGGTCTGTACCACAAACAAAATCAGATTGCTGTGCAATATTTTCATAGATTAGATTTTTTTATTGAAAGAAAAACCATCAAAATGACAAGCAAGAAAGGATTGTTATGGCGCGCTGGTTTTTAGTGCATTTCTGTTTAACAGCTTAGGTCAATGATGTCTTGAAATACAACGCCATCTGCCTTGGCGATAGCATTATCAGGGATAGCTCAAATTTTTATTTTAGCAGCCATTTCCTGCTTTCAATGAAACAATCAGTCAATACTGACTTTTATCATTTAACTTCATTCTTCTTGAAAGAGATCGAAATGAGCAGTGTCAAAGTCACAGCACCAAAAATATAATGTTTCATTGTTTGATTGATGTGACCACTATTTTTTTTTTTTTTTTTGTATGATGTCGCGAGCCATTGACAACAATCTTTTCTCAAGCTACTCCTTTCTCTTTTTTTTTTTTTTTTTTTTTTCCAAGTTAAGAACATTTACATTGGGTAATGACAAAAGTTCTGCTCCGAAATCCACAAGTCATGGACTTAATTCTAAAAGTCTTAATTGGTAACTTGACAACTATAAAAGTCGTTCTATTCCTGTTTTTTTTTAAAAAAAAAAAATATTCGAATCGCAGGTCAAAGTGCTGTTGGCTGTTATGTTTACAGTCCTAGCAATTCGGCTGAAAATCACGGAGCTTATGTGGTTTACGTTCCTACTGTAGCACCCACAGAAAGTTTACCGCCTGTTGTAGTTGCAACACCAAATATTCTCAATAAGCTCGAAACACAGCACCTTATAAAAATGTGTGGGAACCTTATCGACAAGTACCATGTAGAGCCTGTGGTATTGACCCTATCTATCGATAAAGTACAAGAAGGAATAGCCAGGATGCTCACCGAAACCACGAAAGCACCCTTCATGAGAAAATTGCCCTGTCATTTTTGGGCTCAAGACCATTGTGTGATTAGCAAAACTATACTTCAGAAATTCCTTACTGCACCTTTACCACCACTAGCTGCACTGGCTTATGTTCTCATCTCGCAAGAAGTAACTCCGCTTGGCTTGGAGCATAAAAATGATGCCACTGTACAAATGTTGTATGATATCAAAAATAAGACGATCGAACAGACATCTCATCATGATGAACTCTTGTTGAAAGTTTGTAAAAACAGTTTGTACCAATATAAAAGGATCCTGGGGGCTCTGGAAGAGGATAAAAGAGATACAAAACGGATACGCTCTTTGGCTATTGATGGATTATGTTATGCCGAAACATATTTAAATAAATACGCACCAGAAGACTCTACATTAAATATAGAAGGGGATGTAGAAGCCGGTTGCAGCAACAATGATAGCAGTAAGTGCTCAACCCCAACTAAGATTACTACCAGAGCGAAGGGAAAAATGTCAGATATGGAATGGGCTAAAAAAGTAACCGACGATTTCAAAAAAAAGAATGGGAGAATGAATTGGCAAGCTTGTTTCGACATGGGACGCGAAGCTGGCTATTTCAGTAATTATGCAAACGTGAATAGCCTCAAAAACTCATACAATAGGATGAAGATGAAAAATGGATTGTAAAACCTTTTTTTTTTTTTTCAATTCGGGTATGTTTTTCATGTCTAATACAAATAGTTTATTGCAAGTATACAGTTTTGTAAATTTATCTGTAATTGTCGACGGACACAAGTTAAACTAAATTAACATGTCCCAGTTGAATATGCCGTGTGCGTATTTTTATTTTACCCGTTTTATATCAGTATTACATTAATATATTAAACTGTGGCTGTAAAAAAGTACAACTATGGCTAATTACGCGTCATTGACTGTCTCATACAGACCACGAAGTCTATTGTTCAGGTATGAGGAGTGAGAGGATTTCTCATTGGATAATATTTAAAAAAGCGTTCCTGTGCCTGAGAGCTTATGCATTGACCTGTCTTTAAAAAGTCACGGGGTAGGCGCATGGTGGCTTATGAGTCTTAAAATTCAAACATCATTTTTTTTTTATTTATAAAAAAAAAAAAAAGTGTTCAATACATTCTTTTTTGATAATTACAACTTCGCATAAAATGAGTTTCAGTGGATACAAAAAGTTTATTGAAGCAGGCGATCTTGTCATTGTCTACATGGTAAATACACACAATGCACTTGTCACACTTTTCACGGGCTTACCTTTCAATGTAGACAAGAGATAATATGACACCTATTTACATTTCCGAAGACGGTATTTTCAATAACCGTTTCGGTGTCTTTCATCATAATGACATTATCGGCAAACAATTTGGCTCCAAGGTAACCGAAAAAAAAAATTATGTGGTTTTGAACCGTGCAGCCACATAGACTGACATGTTAAAAAAAAAAATAGATGGTGTCTTCCAATTACAGAGGCTTTGTGTATTTACTTCACCCTACACCCGAACTTTGGACACTTGTTCTTCCTCATCGTACACAAATTCTTTACATTGCCGATATTTCGTTCATCACCACCATGCTTGAAATGAAGCCCGGTGTCAATGTCATTGAATCAGGTACCGGTTCAGGCTCATTTTCACACTCGATTGCACGTACCATTGCACCTCACGGTAAACTTTATTCGTTCGAATACCATCAAGAACGTGTCAACCTCGCCAAAGTAGAATTTGCCGACCATGGATACGGCGATATTATTCAAATGCATCACCGTGATGTGTGTAAAGAAGGCTTCCAGATGAAGGATGCTGTCAATGCCGTGTTTTTAGATTTACCAGCTCCTTGGGACGCTGTTGCATCTGCCAAAGAAGCGTTCAAGCAGGATCAAACCGGTAAAATCTGTTGTTTCTCACCATGTATTGAACAAGTCGCACGAACTGTCACTGCCTTGGAGGCGAATGGATTCATCGATATCACCATGTACGAATGCTTGATTCGTGAGCATTCGGTTGCTCCTTTACAAAAGATTAGTTTCTCGGACGCCTTGAAGGATGCACAAGAGAGAAGAGCAAAGGGATTACCTTCGGTTGATAGTGTGGCTATTAAGCGAAAGTTGAGTAAAGATGAACCTGTTCCAACAGCCAATGAAATCGAAGAAGCCGCTAATTTAATGTTGGTCTCCAAGACCGTGGGAGAAACAAGAGGTCATACCAGTTACTTGACATTTGCTACATTTTTACCACCTACTGCTATTCAATTTGTCGACTCTGCCAACGCCAAATCTGATTAGATGAATCACATACACATATATAATAATTTTTTTTTTTTGTCCTTGTAATATAATAAACCAACCCTTTTTTTTTTTTTTTTTTTTTTTTTGGTGGTAAGCTTGTAGAAATGGGGATGAAATTTTTATTTATTAATGTGAAAGGAAATTATTTACAGCCTTTTTGTTTCTTATTATACAAGTTTACGTGTGGGTAACCTTAAGCCTGTGGATTTAGTCAAGGTTGGTAATGTAGACGGTGCCCGTCGCAAGTTGGAAGGAGATTTTAATGTAGAACCCAAGGATGTCTTGGGTCGTTCCTGCTGTGATGTGAAAATAGAAGAAATACCCAAGGATGTTGTACTACGTGGTGGTGTTGGAATATGACTTGCTCGACTACCACCACCACCTCCGATACGACTTGCTGATCGACCCAAGGTAGGATTGCTTTTTTTATGTGCAAGTGTTGTGGATTTTGTACGATTTGGAGATGCTATTAATGTCTTTTTATGAGGAGAAGGAGAAGTGGAGGTAGCTGCTGGTGCAGGTATATGTGTAGCACGTCTTGTTAAACCCACTTGCTGCCTTGTGGATGTGGTTTCGGATAAACTGGCAGGTGGTGCTGCTGGTCTAAATCGAGGTTGTGTGATTCTTTCTGTTGTGTTCTTATTGGAGGTAGTGGATCGCGGTAAAAAAGAGCTGGCGGCTGTGGAATGACTTCCGATAGAAGAAGTGGAGGTGGAGGTACTTGGATAGAGAGCACGGTAATGTGGTGTGATTGTGGAAGCTGAATTCATACTATTCTCACTACTAATACTCCCCGACCGGTGCATGCGTTCACGATGAATAATAGGAGATGTCTTGGGTGACACTGGTACCTGTAACAACCTGGGATTATCAAACTCTCCTATTATTTTAAAAATAAATTAATTATTATGTACTAAGCGATTGACTCGTGCACTTACCATAGCTAGAAGATAACTTTAAACTTGCCATGAAATCATGCTCGGTTACCTTAATTGGGGTGTAAACGAGATTAAAAAAAGACAGAACAATAACACCATTTTCTTACGACATACCTTTTCATGATAAAAGGAGTCCGACAAGTCATCTAAACTGGTATTTTTCGAGCTAAACAAATCTTCTTCATAAGTTGATCTGTTACTGTCGTCATGCGGAAAGATTCCTTTATCCTTGGGTGGGAATGGATGTGTTAAATGGTTTAAAAACTAGCAAAAAAAAGAATGTACAAAATAAGTATAAAGAACCCCCCCCCCCTTTCCTTCTTGTGTGTCTCCCAGTTGTTCTTACATTATCCATTTTCCAAAAGTCTTCATGTGAATCATCCAAATCCAATGCAGATAAAGCCGATAAATCAGTTTCATCCTCCATATCCGTTGTAAAATTAGCATTGATTAAATCATCCAAGTTGATACTGTCTTCTGAGCTAATGGATAAGAGTGAGCAAGGTCTTCTTTTCTGGCTGCAAGGAAAGGGTATTTAGTAAAGTAAAAAAAAAATGACTCCCTTTAAGGTTTATGGTTTGTTATTACCTTGTTTCATCTGATTCCTCAATGTCTAACAAATGACGACGCTCATTTCGATAATTTTCCCGATAGCCTGGTACGTCCATGAGCCATCCTTGAACATTACTTTGTTGGTTCATTGTTAATTTTTTTTTTTTTTTTTTTTTTAGGGTTTTTGTTATTTTTTGTTAAAAAAAAGTTTTTTATTTATAAAAGAAAAGAAGAAAGTATAAAAATAAAAATTAAGGTAACAATTAAACAATGATCGGAAAGAATTATTATCACGTGTATTCAGAAAAAGCCAAATTATATGAGTCCTTTTTTATTTAGGAGGTTTATATTTGAGTAAGGAGAAATAAGGGAGGTATAATATATACAATATTTTAAGCAATAACAAGGGTATCCACTGGATAAAACTGGTCGATTTTAGACATCCAATCCTTCATATCTTCGAAATCCGAGGCTTGTAACAAGTACGCATTGTTATTTGTATAAATAGCAAATGTGTATTTTCTCTGCAAACACTCATATTAGTTCTCCTATTATAACTTTTTTTTTTTTTTTTTCATGCAGTAAGTTCCTACCTGAAGCATTTCTTCCAGGTCCGTCTTATAATCCACTCGGGCAGAAGTCAAGTTAAATACTCCCAACTCTTCAATTTCATTTTGATCTTCATAAATAATAATAAATGGTCTAATCACATATAAAAAAATTAATTTCTGTCTGTAATTAAAATAATCTTATTGTTCATTACCTTCGTAGAACAAACCAGTGCTTTAGCCAAGTATCATCCACGTTTTCCGAGTGTAACAGATATCCTCTTTTGGTCACTGTATCACTATAAGAAAAAAAAGGGTTATTAATAAAACCTTTCTTTTATAGTTTTATATCAGCATACCTTGGGTGTAATTGTTGAATATCAGCAGTCAATTTAATCTTGGAATATTTCTTATTTGAGCTAATTGTATTCAAACTGCTTGTACTAGTGGATGTTGTTAACGCATTGATACTTGGTGGATCCTGGTTAAATACAATCTAATTTTTTGTTTTTTTTACGTGTTAATAATAGTAAAACTGAGCGGTTACACGTATTAAACATACCTCTTCACGTGTTCCAAACTGTGTTTTCCACAAGTCAATGACTTTGCGGGTCAATGCTTCTGGGTCACTCTTCACATTTTTCTTTTCTTCCTTTTCTTCCTCCAGTGCCTGAGAAAGCGTAAACATCTCGGATTGACTTCTTTGAATGACTTTGGTTTGTGGATGTCCAGCCAGCACCAAGGCATGTCGAAAGGCCGCTACACTTTCTTTATGTAACATACGACGTCGTGCCGTACGATAATCAGTAATCAGCGATACACCACGTGGCTTCCATGATCCGATAAATTCCTCGCCTCGTACATACTTGTTGGCCGTATTCAATCTCCATAATTCACGTACCTGTCGTGTCATCGGAGGCTTGAGTTGAACAATAAACATCCCACTTGACTTGTTACTCATCGACACACTATTGGGTGCACTACCAAGTAAAAGTTGTCGAAACATGGAAGACGATGAGGTTGAACTAGACATCATCGCTCCAATTTGCACACATATATCCATATCAAAGCATAGAGGTGATACACATTTATCGCAATTCATCTGCCAGCTCAAGGTGAGTCGAATACGTTGTCCTGACGCAGTGACCCTGTTCAGAAACAAAGAGTCATGTAACGAACTATCCCACGGTCCCTGGGCTGTAATACGTGATGTCCCATTTCGCTCAAACGCAATCTGTTGTTGTGTGGTGAATAATTGGATTTGCACTGCTTCATGTGCTGGTGATTCCGTCACACGTCCCTTAGCATCCACAAGTCGAACATTGCCAATCTTTGCATTGTTAATATCTAACCATTCAAACTGTCTTCCAGAATCATGACCCAAAGTAAATGCAATACGACGTTGCAAACCTTGTCTTAAGCAGAAGACATCTTGATGTTGTTTATTGTCGTACGAATTGATGACTTGTACAGGCACATATTGTCCATCATCATTTAACTCACAAATCTGGATCCAAGCCAATACATCATGTCGTTCCTCCATCAAGATACCATCAAACGTACATTTTTCCAATGAAAACCTTCTATCAATGGATACACGTCTACTTGCTGGCACGATATTGTTGTTGATAGCCTTTGTAACAAATAACGATGTTGGTTCATTGATTGGTGTCCCCGGTGTACTATTACTTACATGCTCCACCAATCCATACAAATAATTGGGTTGTGCTTGACCATATACTTCAATCGTCAAACCTTGATTTAGAATCACATCCATCATATTTTCCGTAATGTTGACTGAGAGTGTTTGGCATTGACCAAACACAATATGACCATGTTGAAAGTTACTGATGGGATCTGTTTGATATATTTTGTCTGGTGTTGAATAACGCTCCACATTACCAAACGAAGATAAACGAAATTGAGCATGCACCTGAGTAAAATCGGACTCATCCACACCACGTAACTCTTGAATGCGAATTTCAAACACTTGCTGTTGACCAATATGTAGCAAGTATTTCTCGCCTTGTTGTTCCATACCGGATTTGGGTCGGATCATATTCAGGTTGGGTCTGGCGGATTGTTGTTTTCTTGAAACAGAGCGTGCAATAGGTGTGATCAGAACCCTCACTTGACCCATCACTTTACCAGTGTTGCGACAATAGACATCGACATAATTATCAGCATGTAACTGCAGAGTTAAATTACGTAGCGGAACACGAGCTAACCCAATCGAGCTAAATCGAGGGCACGGTGTTTCATAGAACGGATCTTCTCGATTGAAATGTTGTCCCGTAAATAATGGGCCATCCGTGTAATCATATAATCTTCGCATGCGTCGAATACGGTGCTTTAATTTAGCAATGGACCAAATATACGTAGCCCGATGCACATGATCAATCACTTGGACCGCCACACAAGGCTTGGTTTCATTCATTAAATGTGTATCTGGTTCTCTTGTGAATGGTTGTAAAGCACTGGTCGATTCCCAAAACGACAGAGAGTTGGCTGACAGATCATCATGCACAACCATAAACTGATACACAATGTTTTTCCCCAGCTCCTTGGCCATAATATTTGCTTCTTTCAGAACCACCGCATGAATCAAACAATCCTCAGCCATCTTGACATATTTTAATTCACGCCATTTATCCACCGCTTGACGCAACAGGTGTTGTGCTGCATTTTTACTGGTGAATCCTACCAATAGATTATCCGAACTTAATGCAGTTCCAGGAGGTAAATGGGCTGAAATACGACGAATTTTATTCTCATACGCAATCCTTTGTTGTTCCAAACTCTTTTCCATCTCTTGTTTCACAAGCGCATATTTCGCAGCCAAATCATCTCGTTCCGTATTGATGTCGTCTGTCTTCATATTGGAGCTTTCCACCAGCCGTAATTTTTCCTCGTATTCCTTTTTTTGTAACTCCATTTGCTGCTGGATCTCTTCTGTGGCTTTTTGAATCAACTTTTCATTATCTTGAACAGTAGGAGGTGGTAGTAAAAAGCGTTTGTCTTCCTCATCATCTTCCTCTGTTAGTAAGGTAGTCGCAGCAGAGACACCACTAAAGCGTTTATTACTGGAAGAACTGATGGAAGTTCTTGGAGATACCTCGGCGGGATCCTCACTAAATAATTGGTTATGACAATCAGACGAGATACGTTTTCTGTTTCGAAACTCGCGTACTTTTGTAATTCCATCGGATAACTGTTTGAGATCCTCATCTGTCATCACAGCCAAATCGGACGCATTAGTGACACCATATTTCTTGACCGCTTCATTATGTGCAAACTTCCAATCTAGGATATCGGTTGTCGTTGTGCTGGAAGGAGACATGATAGATCCCAATGCACTATCGGGACTTGTACAGATACGTAATTGTTGCTCCCGTTCTTTACGTACTTCCTCTGGATTATTGAACCGAAACATATGATGTAATCCAGACCCAAAAATAATTCGATAACCGCTATGTAGTACCTTTGGCTGAAGAATCTGCATACCATTTACCAGAGTAACTGAATCCTTTCCGGGATAAATCGTCACTACGCGTGTCTCCTCGTCTTCCTTTTCGTTTTGAAAGTAACAATGTTCATCCAGAATTTCCGCCCCCGTTAGTCGAATATCTGCTATAGCACTGCCGATTCTCCCCACACGTGTGATGCCGGATTTGATTTGATACATTAAACATTCGGTCATCAGTGGGTCTTCGTTTAGGTTAATCAGATGAATTGTCTTGGGCGCATAGACCCCTACCATATTATCCTTTTCCACAATCACGCCAAGTTCGGCTAAAGCCTTTTCTCGTTGGCGATGGATTTCCTCAGTCCTGTTCATCTTTTCCTCCCATGTTTGCTTCACCTCCGATAGTAACTTTTCCGAAGATTGTAACTGATCAATCACTTGTTCCTTGGTCAATAAACTGTTTCCTCGTTGTGTTGCAATCGGTGATTCTGGCGAGATTAACAGCATGGGTGATGTAGAAGTGGCTCGCGCTGCAGCAGCTGCACGAGAAGAAGCTCGACTACTGGTTCCTGAAGCCCTTGCTTTCTTTTGTTGAATAATCTTTTCCACTTCCTCTGGTGCGTAAATCATCAAGGTGTCTCGAAGTGCTTGTAATTCTTCCTTCAGTTCTCGAATAAGACGAGCGTTGGGATCCTCATTCACAATTGCCTTGTTTTTAATGCGTTTGGCTTGATCTGCGTATCGCAACGTACTCATGGTTTCATCGTAATCGGCTGGAGAGATAGCAGCAATCATGGCGGTTTTAGAATTACCACCGAGTGAGTCCTTTAATAACCAAGTCAAGACGGAATCACGATAAGGTACGAAATTCGGGTTTAATGCAGAGGCTTTTTTGTTTCCGGTGCTTGGATGAGCGGAGGATTCGGCTAAGGCTGCAATGACTTTTCCCAAGGTGGTGAGGGACTTGTTGATGTTGGCACCTTCTTTCAGTCGAACACCCGTGGCACCTGTACTATTGGCACGTTCACTACCCGCTAAATCCACAAGACTGATACGTGCGCATTTTTCCGTATTGAGCTTTGCTGTTTCATCAAATCGATTGGATGTGAGGAATAAAGTGAAGACGGCATGTGAGCGAGATGATGTTTCATTCATGTTGGTAGCTGCCACTGTTCTTGCCTAATGATATATTTAAAAGGATTAGATAATGCAATGATAAAATCTACAACCTCCTAATTCGTATTTTTTTTTTTTTTTTTTTACCTTGTTGCCTTCGTTCATTAAATGATCAATGTCTTCAAACGAATTGACTACGAGTCGAGAGAGATCTTCTACGTAGGGACCGATGGTGGGATGTTCTCGTACTTTTAAATTTCCCTTGTTACCCGGGTTCAGTAAATCTCGTACTTTTTCATTGTAGATTTCGATGTAGGATACTTCTACTTGGAATTTTAGTAATTCGCTGGTGAGGTCTGAAATTCGCTCAAAGAGTTCTGAACAGGTACGTGGTATAATTCCTTTATCTTCGCCATAGCCCATCTAAAAGTGCTTTCGTCAATAATTATTTTTAAGGGGGGGGGGGTTATTTTAAATTAAATGTTACCATTGAATAAGATTTACCAGAACCTGTTTGACCATCTACAAAAAAAAAAAAAAAAAAAAGGGAATGATGAGCATTTTCATTAGCGTGAGGAAAAAAGATATAAAGTACGTTACAAGCAAAGATACAGCAATTATAACCATCAAAGGCATGGTCTAATAATTCTCTCCCCATATCATTGTACACTAATTCCTGGTCTGCATAATGATCGTCTGCTTTGTCTGCTGACCAATACGATCTATCAAAGGTGAATGCCTTGACTTGATCATCCTCTACGGCCGCTTTTCTCGATGATGTTTGGTGGTGTGATGCGCTCGTCGATTTCTTATTGTTGGTAATAATCGTTTGATTTCCATCCATTCGGATAATACTCGTGGCTCCTCTTGCCTTCTCTATGTTGAACAAATATGAGTATCAGCGTTCTTTTTTTTTTTTTCAGCCTGTTTCCGGTTGTGCGTTACCTCTAGCGTTTAAGGGTCGACAGCGGACCACGACTTTAATATTGCCACTCATGTTGTGTATCTGCAGGAGGGAGTTAGAATAAAGAATTTCTGATAAAACAATCAAAATTTTCTGGTACCTGTAAAAATTATAAAGTTGAAAGAAAAAAAAAAAGTTGCTGTGTAAAAAAAAAAAAAGTTTGAAATGAAGAAACAAAAAGGTTTTTTTTTTTAACACTGGTAATCTATAACTTCCATTCCCTTTGTTGTTTTCTCAACTATTTATTACTATCCTCCGTAACTGTTTCGTATCGGGATATCAAATAAAGAGATGAAAAGTGTAGAAAGGAAACAAAGAAGAAAAGGGAATAGTTTTAGCTTTTAGGAAATAGTAGTGTACCCATTTTTTTTTTTTTTTTCATACATTAAAGAAAGTTCAAGATCAGCTTTTCATTTTAATTGGCTTAGTCCCTTCGGAAAAGACAGTTTCGTCATGCTCAGTGCCTTGGTAACACCTCGTTTTCATTATTGTTGCTCTTTTGAATTCTATTTTATAATATGGGCTTGGTCCCGTTAAAAAAAGTCTCTTCAGCACTTTCCTCTTCACCCAGAATACAGCCTTGACTGTGTCCACATAGCCTAAAAAAAATGTGTGGTAACACAAACAAAAAACTACATTTAACTCCAACATGCTTACCGACCTACAGCCTTTTTGTCAACTGTCAAAGGCAGATCACACATAGAATAGCTCGGTTGCTTTTTTAACCATGGTCTTGAGTTGACCTAATCCTTTATCAAGTTCATTTCTACCCTATCCCTCCGTGCATCCCCCCCCCCCTTCTTTTCTCTCCGAAAGCACACTTGACTAAATCAGGAACAAGGCTTAAAATGGAATATATTGGTGTTATTGCAATGAACTCATCTTGCAAGACATTAGGTTAGTTCCATTACAAAAGAAAGCTTAATCTCATTACGTATTTTATGGTCCCCCATTTCTTTTTTCATTCTGCACCAAAGACGCGTTTTCAACATTGTTTTTTTTTTTTGGCCAAAGAAAAAAAAATAGGTACGGTGTGCAACCAAGGTAGTGAGATTGTTTTCATTGAATTTATTTATATTTATAAGGCACGTTAGTTTAATAAAAACTTGAATCTAGATCAATGCAAACATAAAGAAAAACATTATGTACAGGTATCAAAGCTGTATACGTTAAAGTTGGAGATACTTTCCAAAAAAAAAACAATTGTACGTCCTGCCCTAGACTAGGAGGTTTTTTAGTATCTAAAAATTTATGTGTATTGAGTACAAGAGACAGTGATCATAAGAGTGTAACAGATATAAAAGTGGGTTCACAACTAAAATCAACCTGATTTTTGACATCATCCGGAGTCTATAATAAATATGGCAAAAACTTTCTAAATGACAAATACGTCGCACGGAGGCACTTTGATACTATTTGTCCTTTTTTTTTTTATTAAATGTATTTGAGAGTTAAAATTGGCCTTACGTAAAAACGTTTTTACCTGCATCTTATCTTTTAATTTTCACCAGTCTTTTATATCCACCTTTTAGATGTAAGTTGTAGTACGTACACAAAGAGGCAAACAGATCTGTCACGGGATAACGCTTAGATTAATTTAAATCTCCATTGTCTGCACTTCCGTTGAAATAATTTGCAAGTGTAGATTCACATGTAGCCGCGATCAGAACAGCCTGCAGACTTTGATACTGAGTATCTCTAGTCTATTGTATAATTTTCTTCTTTTTAGTTGCAATATTTATTATTTCCATCATAGTTACTTGCACTATTTTATTCAGTAAAACTCGAACATTCTATCACTGTCGCGGCTACTTCAGGATTTGCCAATCGCCATCTAAACGTGCGTACCTTTTTTAATTGTGTGGCTAAAGCTGTAACGCCAAACACTTATCCAAGTAAAGTATAAAGGGTAATCACAAAAACATAGCGTATTTCTTTGTCCAAACTAGTAATTGTAGTGGATCATTACTTGCAAATTCATTCAATCATTTATTGATATCTTTCTGTTTTCTGGACAAATAAAAGCGAGGATCCTGTAGGTATCTCTCTTTTTTTTTTTTTTTTTTTTTTTTTTTAGTATCTACAGCTTATAACGAATGAAAATCGCTTTCGGACAGACTTTAAAATGTTTTCAGACCATACATAATAAACAAATAATTATCTATCTCTCTCTCGTTCTTGATAAGGAAAAAACGAATATGAGAAAGTCTAAGCTAATTCTTGGGGCAGAACTGCATAATTACTTTTATATAAATTAATATTAAAAATTCCTGGCAACTTCTTGCTTTTTAAATATACTTAATTACAATGTGCTTTCTAGACTGACAAGCAGATGACATCAATCTGTTTATTTATAGTTAAGAAAAAAATTCGTCATTTTTTTTTTCTCTCTTCATTGTGCCAGAAGTCTTCATTGGGGGGTACATTCTTGGTGGTGTGCTTGAAGTTGCACAACGATACTCGGACTCCTGGGCAGTCGTCTCATCAAGGTATCTCGTCAATATGTGTCATTTGGGGTGGTTCCCGAAGAGACCAGGTTTCGTGACTATTGCTGAGATACTGGACACTGACAATTAAGAGTGGGAGTTGCCTAGGTGATTTAAAGCGACATTCTGCTTACTGGTCGGGCGCTCCTAAGCTTAGTTTATCATCAATACCCATGAGAATTGTGTAGTATATAAGGATGAATTATTTCACAACAGCCAAGTTATTTTAATTCTGATAAAGATATACTTTTAACTCATTACATCTCATGTGTATCGTTTTTTTTTTTCAAACACTACATGATGAATACGAGTTTTTTCCTATCAAGGTAAATATAAATTGTAACTCCCAATGGCTTTTTGTCTGTCAATAGAATCACAAAGACTGCTTTGTATTTGACTTTTCAATGGTCTAGTGTGTGTTTCGTATAAGAAGTTAAGCCTACTTTACGACACAGTTTTCTTCGATTAAATAAAGTCTACTCATGATATTCAATTTTTTAAACATTATCAACATTCATCAAGTGGGACAATATAGATTTAATTTACATACACAGGTATTATCTAGCACACTCAGATAAACAATTACAATATACACCTTCGTAATTTGCTTTTTTAAAATGGATTTTATATCTATCCATGAAAAATATTCAGATATCCATTATATATTGATATAGCTTCACCTTACGCTTGATATTAGCATTCATAACTTAAAATGCATGTTTACTTCATATAACACACTCGTCAACCGGATTATCAACGTGTCTTAATGATTATGCAGTGTTTGACATTCTAAAACAGGTCATTGAATACGATTTTGGCTAAATTAGCATTATTAATGATGTGTATATATAAATTAATGGCTCAAGGAGTAACATACAATTTCCACGTAATCAGTCTTTTTTTTTTCAGCACAACCCCGCATAAAATTACAGATCCATGATCTTTACACGCCTAACGAAGAATAATTTAGAAGCACATATGCCAAGTAATCTTCCCTTCCAAACAGATGGGTCCTTTTGCAGTGATTTGTTTGTAGTCGTAGTTGATTAGAATTTAGGCGAAAAATAACTTATGGATTAGTTATTGGTTACTTTTCCCTTTTGATGGTGTTATAATTCGTGGAAAATTATTTCTACGGACAACTACAATTAATCACCAATAATGATATATTTCCTATACCATGAATCAAACCATGCATAGCCCTATTTAAAAATTACTGTATCGTTATTCATTTTGAGATGAATGATGACACCTACCTGCTCTTATCTCTAACTTAGTGTATCAAGAATTGTCCATTGATATACGATGATCATTGTAATTTATGAAATGGTAACCATATGAAAGAATAATCATACGTATTAATACTTTTGAAAATTATTGTAAAGAAGATAAGCAATGATACTTTTATTGAAATTGGTTTTTTAACTACACACGTATACTTCCATTAATACAATTTAGTTGCTTTAGGGATCTTGATTTGTCGGTTTTTATTTTTTGGTTGTTACCAATTGTCTAACA